CCAGTGTCAGTATCCTTTGTGATGATATATCGAGCGATGCTTGGTTCTGCGGTCCTTACAAGTTAACGGCAAGTTTACCTTCAAAAACCTAATGATTAATGCTTCGGACGGGTTTGTCATTTACAACTGTGTAGAGCACGAAAGTCGGGACAGTATATTATCTATAAATTATATATAATGCTGCCAATTGAAATAAATTAGTGGAAAAGTTAATTATTTGTAATTCTAAAGGTACCGAACCAAATCTGACCCAATGCACGTAATGTACTATGACTTAAATACAATACGTATAGTGCCAACGATACCTCAGAACTGGTATCTACTTGGCACTGCCAAAGACACCATTTTAGCGAAAATGGTGTCTTGTTTTGAGAGTTTCCACTACAAAAACATGTTTTTGTCCCTTTCATTCCGTTTTAAAAAAAATATTCTTTGGACATTTTTTTCGTATCGTACGATTTGTTTTTATGTTTTTACTGAAGTAGGAACTTGTGGTAAGAGATTTAACATGGCGTCGCACAACATTTTTTTAAATCAATGTTGTTCGTGAGATTAGCGAAGTAATCTTCAGCTCTATTATATATCCAAGCATCAAATTAAAATCTTGTACAAATGTGGGGTTTTTAGTGCTTTATAGTTAAATTATTACAAGGCTTAGCTGATAAGATATGCTCAAGTACGAAATAAGTTTATTGTCATTTATCTTAATAAAGTCTTGATACTGTTTTTTCTAAACATCTTATCAAATGTCATAGAAACGTGTATTTACATCCGTGCAGCTGCAGGCACCATCGTACAGTTAGCTGTGACAACGTAAGATAAATATGTAAAAGTTTATAAAAATAAAAATAGGTAAGTACGTCTTCACCAATAGCAGATATTCATAGTTGGAAATATAATGAGTTGTAGGTGATAACATATTTTGAAACCGAAGGCGTATACATGTTACTGAAGCTTTGTTAATGAATAAATATTTATGCAGCTGACTGTACAGGTTGTCCTTTATGTTTTTTTTCTTTAATGAACAAACCAGTACTGCTACAGTACAAATAAGTTCATAAGACCACATTTTTATATAATAAATAAATCGAGTGTTCGCCATCGCTAGTTCTAATTATTATATATGCATTTTTAATGTAATTAGAAGATCGAGTTTGCAAGTATTAGAACATAGTTTGGAGGCTTTAAGGATACCAATTTGTAAAAATGTTAAAATGAGTATTAAAGATTTATAGCTATTTTATACTAAATATACCAGTACCATTTTTTGATAACGCAATAAACAATTATTCAAGTAATTGAAAATTTAGGCATGCTTAGTTTAAATACTGCCCTGAAACATCCCATAATGCGCGCGCTTAACAGGTCCTGTGTCTTAAAAGTCAAAACGGGTGACTCAGATAAAGTTATCAGTAGAGTAAATAAATTCCAATTCCTGTATATTAAAAGAAATAAATTTGTAACTGGACTAATCGTTATTATAACTAAATGTTAATAATCACAGTCTAATGTCCGGGACTGACATAAGGACATACATAAATACGCACAATTCGAAAGTAAATTAATGACTTGATGATATTATATGTATTATAAAATATATTATTTGTTTGATGTTTTGCCGTCTGAATAATATGTACAGTATCAAACAAAGAAAGAACTTATGCATTCATACGAGCAACTGCAGTGACTTATTATTTTGGAGTTGAATTTTTGTTGTAATGCGTTGTGGGGGTTGGGGCGTCGCGAAGCGACGCGCGGTGTCAGGCTCGGCTCGGCGGCGCGGCGACAATGCGTTTCAGCTGAAACGTTCGATGAGTGGTCGGGGGAGGTTGTGCGAGGTCACGCCGCGCGCTCGGCGGGCTCGGCCGGCGCGCGCAGGGCGCGAGCGTGCGCGCGCCGCCACCGCCGCCGCCGCCCGCCTTCGCCCGCCGGCCAGTCCCGCGACCACGCTGCGGACTCTGCCGCCTCTCACACTGCCATCGAATCGTTATCTGAACACCGTTCCTGGGCCCCCGCCTTCAGTGGACGTTCACGCGATTCATCCTCATACCGATATCCTCGCGATACACAGAAAGTAACACGACTAGCCTTTCAATAAAATGAGCAATCACACAAAAAATGAGTGGAGTGCTCACTTAATCGATCGACTGCATTAAAAAGTAAAAACTTTTATTGTCGTTTTGCAGGCGACTTTAACAGATTATTTTGCGCTACGTTCGAGCTTCTGAGCTTTGTTATATGTCGATTGTGTGACCGGCCCTCGGGAGGAGGTCGTGCGTATTGCTAACATTGCTACCGAGTGGTGCCGTCCTGTGCTTAGTTCTTCTGTGAACAGTGCGTCAGATCTTCAGAGGTGTTTTATCGTTCATTCGGTTGCGAGCTTGCGCATATATATTTTTTATTATTTTTTACATTTCTTTCGCATTAATTTGCTATTATTGTGAAAAAAACGCGATCCATGCTTGGAGTTATGACTACCATGGTATGGTTTCCTTTGTCTACATTACGTACTTATTTCTTTTTAGTAAACGAAAGTAGCTTACTGTAATTATAAAGCTCGATTTGTATCATTTTAGACTTACATCTATTTCTAGTTTTATCCCACATTAAAAATATCAATTGAAGCCCAATAACAATATTGGGTTTATGTAACCGTTTCGAAGCTTTTGAACCACTTAGGTTTACGATCATGGCAGCAGTAGATTGTAGTATATTACTTTCATACATTATGAAATATAACATGTATGGAGGCATTCGACCTCAGTTACATACGATGCATGTAAACGCATCTTGGCCTAAATTTTCCTAACATGTATTATGTAAGTGCTCAATAATGCTTTACAATACACGAAGTAGAGAAAGAATTTCACTGCGGATATCCGAACGTAGTACATACAGAGAGCTTTGGTTTCTGCAGTAGGACTATTGACAATTACGTCCGTAGTGAACACGCCTAGTTACTGTACCGTACTGTACAAACACGCAACGCAATACACGATATATTACCAACCAAACCTTAAACATTTTGCATGACAAAGAAAATAATATTGAATTATATTACATTAAAACATCAAAGTATTTTCATTGGATTGTTGTAGATTTTATTGATTTCTAAAAGTTTATTAGTTTATTAAAGGTAATATTATAGTTTAATATTATTTTCACTTATTATAGTAACGATTGTTTTAGTATTTTTTTCGGTCATTATTAATTTATTTACATATTTACGTTGAAAAATAATATTTTTCATTTTGCATTGTTACACCTGTATTTTCGCGGCCTGACCTCTTTTTCTCGAACAATGTTACCATTCCAACGTCTTACCGAGCCACTTAAACTTTTCTTGGTTAAAAATAGTTTTTACTTTAATTCACCGCAAGAAATTAAAACAACACTTTAATATCTATCTAATGCTATCATTAAACAGCCAGTATGTTTTTAAAAAAACAAATGCCCCTAGACTCCAGTCGTAGACAAATAATTTATAAGATATAGACATTACGCAATACATAAGTAATTCAAAGTATGCGATAAATGCATAAATGAAATGCTTAATAGTGCTTGCAGTTACGATTAAATTAGCACAATAAATGTAAAGGAAAAACACTAAATAAATTAGTTCGTGGTATAAATATAACATAACTTCGAACTAAGACATTATATAATGAAAAACAAGATATAATTTTGATATAACTTTGTCGTTAAAAAGGGATGGCAAAAGCTTCTCTTCAAAGCTATCGCAATGTTAAATGTACAAGATAACTTTTCCATTAATTAATGATAGTGAAAAAGATAAAACATTAAATTACATATTACACTTCCTATATTAAGAAAAGAATCAAAATTAAAAATGAAAAAAAAACACAAAAAACTACTGCGATATAATTAAAAGTTGTTACATCGTTGTCATAACTTGTGCAGAGATTTCTTGTAATAATTGGCCAGTAAAATGTTCGGGGGAATAGTAAATGTTAATCGACGTTCAATTTATTTCACAAAAAGTAGTGTACAAGTTTTAAGGCATTTTAGATACGATGCAATTCTTTAAGTTATCAATACGATTGATATTTAAAGAAATGTTAATGAAATACGTTAACTTAATGCGTATTAAAAATTAAACGGAATTTAAAAGAATTTTGCCTCTGACTGATAATACCTCGGAATGTTTTATTGTTTACTCTCCTTCCGCAAGAGGATCATGTTGTTTACAGTCAACTTGGAGCGCAGCACTTTCTGCTTTACCTTTTTTGAAACATAATCTGATAAAGTAGGACGGGCGGAGTTATTTGATCTCCATTATATTCCTTGCGTGCCTTCTTTTCTATTTTATGTCAACAAAATAATATATTCATACCTTGAACATTGCATTTGCCCGTTATCTTTACTATCCTTTCGTATAAATACGTTATGTGAAATTGTATTATACATAGCACGTTTACTGAAGCACTTACTTAAAAAGGAAGTAAAATTAAAAAAGGAAAAACTGTGGCTCCGGAAACATACATAAGTACAGAGGCAAATGAAAATGAAAGAAGCAGCCGTAGCGATACGTTGCCGCCGCCGCTCAACTACACCGTGCCCTAGTTCTTACTATTTAGAACCACAGCGCAAAAGCTGCGCTCACGTCCCATTGACCTTTTTAAATCTTTCGTTTCTTAGGCAATCCAAAGCTATAGGAGTAAATTGTCCGTGTATCCCGAACTCGCTATGTATATCATGTTTTTATTTTACCTAAAACCATACCATAGTAAACATATCGTGTATGTATCGCATTGAAATATATCGATACATAACAAGTAAATTAACGTGATACGAAATCGGAATCAGAACCATCGGCGGGGATAAAGCGAGCATCTATGCAAAACACGGCAATCGCACTGCTGGAGACGGCGTCGGCGTACGAGAGGGCCGTGCTGGAATGTGAGCACCTCGCCGCCTCCGAGCACGGCGGCTTCCGGTGAGAGCGCTGGCGCGGCGGCGACGGCGACGGCGTCGGCGACATGGCGGAGCGCGCGCCCCCCGACGTACCGCTGATCGTGACGCCGCCGGGCGCAGGGGTTGCGCCGCGGGGGGCGCGCGGCTCGCGTGACGATCCGCCCTCCACCTGGCGCTCCTCAGTGCGCGTCCGCGACACCGGCTTCCGCGGCTCCCGCAAGAGCGTCGTTCGCCTCGAACCGCCGTGTAATGGCCTCAACGGATTGCCCACCATCATCGGCAAGGAGGTAATGCTCGTTCAGTGGCTGATTGTTTCAAATAACCATATGTTGCAACGGGAGCATATTGACGATAAGAAATTATGATACCTAACATGTTTTTTGTGTGTTTCCTACGGTTCATTTATGTTTAAATGGCTTTCATTGCAACTAAAATATATTTGTAAGAAATAAATAATTAAATATTCACAATAGTACCAAAATAAAATGTATTCGTTTTTGTATTTAATCAAATTTGGTTTTGGTATGAAGAATAATGAGTTTAGGTAATGATCGTCTGTATTCTGATAGTGATAACAATTTTTGGCGATAACATTGCGACTGTAAGCTAACTTTAATAAGTGACACAATGTTGGGTGGTTGTGAGGCGTGAGTGACATGTTCTAATTACCCTGTATATCTAATCACTACTATCTAGACTACTATGATAAATTTCTGTAAGAATATCGATTATAAATTGGTTACAAAGTACATCGTAATTTGATAACTAGACTTCTATACATATTTCATTACATATTATAGTAACTGTTTGCATTTAAAAGGAATAAAGCTAATATTATTTCATTCTACTTCCTTGTTGATAAAAACATACGGATTTTTTTCGTCATCATGCTGTTAGACAACTGAGTAACAAAATATTTAAAAGCTGAATAACGGGTGTTACCAAGTGCCGTTAGGCCTAGCAAGATATTGTGGCTCGTCCAGAAAAACAAATTCTCCTGTATAAGACACTACTTAAATCAATATTAACTTATAGTTCGGAATATTGGGTTTTGAACAAAATAGACGATAAATAATTGTTGGTGTTAAACCATAGGATATTTTAGGGCCTTGTAAAGCTTTACTTACGAGCTGTAACAAATCTATAATGAGTCAAATGTCATCAAGGTCATCAAAATTGGTCCTCTATGCAGGACAGAACGTGTAGCGAGAATGACAACGTAACTTTTTTATAAAATTTGCGTATTATTATCGAATATTATCAGTAATTTTATGAAAATATTTAATAAATACATATAACATGATATCATCGATGACGATGGACATTTTTAATTCTAATTGAAAATATTATTTGTGGTACAGAATTGCCTCATAATATTGTTTACATAGATGACACTAAGAAAATGTATGCAACAGCTGCGATATAAATGCAATATAAGTATATCTTATATGTTTATTTATTGTAAATAAGACACGATTTTCGTAATTTTATATGTAAACTTAAGTTTTCCACTAATTATGCTGTTCGCATATACAAAGTTGCAAGCTAACTGACGAGCAGAGGAAAATTGTGAAATATTTCACAATGATTCTATTTTCCGTGTGTACCGACATTTCTATTAGAAAATTTAACTTTGGTATAGTTTGTAATTATAGTTTGCATGAACTGTTATTGATTTATGTGCCAGCAATAAGGCCGCTGATGCCAATAACGACAACCTAAATCTGAACTATGACCTAAACTTTGACATTAAACTAGTAAACCTTATACTTATACTTAATAACTTTTATAATGCGACTACGTCCGCGCGGATTAAAAAAAAAAGTAGTCTATGTGTTCTTCCATGGTGTCTGATAAATTTCAACGATATCCAACCTGTCGCTTTGAAGATATGTTCTAACAAAAATCCATCCATCCATCCCCCCATCTAAATTATCGCCTTTGTAACATTGGTAAGCGTAAGATTACACACACAGAATAACTCTACATTGATAATATAATGATTTTGTTTGTTAATTCTAGTAAAATAATACACTTTTTAAAAGATAATTTGAAAAATTGTTGTATTACACTCGAAAAGGCAATCTGAGCTACAACAAAATATTGTATATTTTTCTCATCCAGATAAGCATGACTGTATCATATGTACAAAATCTGGATATGCGAGAGTCTAAGGGACCGCGATATATTTCTCGCTTATAGAGGTTTCTCGCTAATCCAGGTGTTTGTACTGCTTTAGATGCACGCTGATATGTTTTCATCTACCTATTATATATAGATCTGTACAAACTTCTCCTTGTAACATAGTGTTTTATAAGCATATTACTTTCTTCTTATTGCCTAATTATCCAGTATTTACATAAAAGTAATAAAACTTTATATGTAATAGAGAGATTCCAGTGTTTTCCTGTTTACTAACAATACTACCATTTCTGTTATTCTCTTTAAAAAATAGAGATAACAATAAGTTCTTATAAAATTATACGTAAGTTGTAAACATTATAGACCGGTGAAGAATTTCAATTTAACTACTACTACCCACAACAAAATAAGAGACACACAATTCAACCTATTGTTTGGACCATAGACAAATACCAAACGTCAAGTGCCACTAGAGCGGTCGCCGAAAATGGAGAACGTAAAGAGTTCATTAATTCGACTATCGTTTAAGTCACGCAAGAGCTCTCCAACACTAGCAGAGTACTGTTCCAGATGATGCTTAACAGCATACATTAAAGCTAAGTGGGTTGAACTTAACAATAACCGGAATAAAATTATGAAAATAAGAAAACTACTGAACGACACCTTCGTAACATACTTAATTGTTGTTCATTGTTTTTGTTAGTTAAAACATTAGTGCATTTAATTTTCGACTTTTTAGTATTTTTGCATGAAAATTTAACAAAATAACTAAATATAATGTTATTTGCATGTTTATTATGAAGTAGATTAAAGAAATAATAATTCCTCCAGTTTTAATTATTATCGTAAAATAAAAAATCTTATCGGCTACATGAATAGTTTTTAGGGAACGAGGTTAAAGTTAATTTATGATATAGTAAACTAATTAGATAAAACTTGGAAAAGAAAAGTTATTTAAATAAAATTATCAGCTAATTTCCATTAATAATTTAATCAATATAATTGACACAAAAACAATTTTAGTTATAAACACATTGCAATGCATGTAAATGCTATTCGAAAGTTAATAAATAATGTTGTAAAATTACTTTTTATATTAATACCTGCATAACATTATTTCCGTCTCAATAATAACAATTAGGTTATTAGAGTAAAAATCACACCAAGAGCATTTTTAAGAATGAAAATATGACTTGGCAGCGCGCTTATAAGTGCAAGATGAGTTGTATAGTTTCAAGCAGATTCCCAAATTTTGGTAATTTCGGTGAAGCCGTTTCTGCTTTTATCTTCAACTTGTGAACCCCTTTACTTATCCGCTGTCGTGTGGCTCCGCCGGTCTTCTGTGTAGACCATGGGGTACATATGGACCATGGTGACATTAATGGAATGAACCTAAAATTAGAGAAAGAGATAATCTAATGTGTTTGTTTTATTTGTCTACAGGTACTATCACTCGGCGCGACAAGCGGGCCCAAGGGGACCACGCAACCATCACATCCCTGGACTATCCTCCACCATTCTCCTTACAAGGTAAGCATAGGAAAACTGACATAAAGAAGTTACTTATATGATGTGTGAAATACGTTTTTTAATCTTGGAAAGGACCTAACTTTTCCATCGACACCAATACAATCTAATTCAAGTCTTACTTTCATTTCCACATTTTTTATGAAAGGATAGGAAGTGAAGTCACGACGAAGGAGAAAATTAATAAGACATATCTTTGTTATTATATTTGTCTTTTGGTAGGCAACACATCTTTAACTTCATGTTACTTACCTTTAGGTAGTAGTCATTTATCGAATCACCAGCATGCTCGATAGTATTGCATAACATCGCATTATATAACGAGTCAACCAATATGAACATAAGTAAAAATTCGAATATTCCTATCTGAACTACCTAGAATAAAATTTAATCCATTCAAGGTTACTTGAACACGTTTATTGGTGTGGCGCATTGTGTCGAGTTTTCAATTATAGTTTTTATATACATGATTTTAAAGAAATTCTTTGGGACTCTGTCATAGATGTCGCGTGCGATAAAATTATGATTAAAATATTTAGATGATAAGAAAACTGTTGAGTAATGGACTGATCGTATAGTTACTAGTTCTTTATGATAAGAAAAAAATTACGTCCAAATTGTTCAAACGTAATCTAATTTAAGTCTCCATGACATCATGTGTAAGTTTCATAAACCGTTTATTTCATGTTCATACTCTCTAATGTTTATCACTAAATTTTGTTCAACAATACAATACAATATTTATTGATAATGTTTAAATTACAGGTCAAAGAGCGATTTACAAAAAAAAAAAACAATTTTACTGAAAAAATTCTTCGTACGAATACAAAGCCCTCTCGACAAGCACTGATTTCAATCTATTTTTGAACATTGATATATAAAAGTTCACTGTACTCAAGAAATTATTGGAAGTTTCATATTGTGAAAATAATTCTAACGTTTTCAAATAAACGCTATCCGTTTATAGTAAAGAGAAGAAAACGCAAACGATATCGAACGACATATGAAAGATAATTTAAGGGATTTTATTACTAGATTATTATGTCGTTTAACTGTCTTGGCAAGAACAAAGCGTGTGATCATAAGTCTTAATAATATAAAATACCAATCCACATTGTAAAAATAAAATTAAGTATAAAAACATTAAATTAAAGTGTCCTTGAATAAATAATCATACATTATTTCTCATCTTTTATGTAAACGTAATTTATTAAAATTGCATATATATATAAATACTTTTATAACGATTGCAAGTATAACGTTTGTCTTATTTTCCTTAATTTTTATACATCTTATGTATATTAAAAAAATCATTAATTATTTATATCATATATGCAGGTTAATGAAGATTACTTTTTTATAAGTTGCCTCATTCCCTTGAGCACGAATTATACCGTAATTAAGTTTTACGAAGAAGTGTGTAACGCTGTAGTTACACACATCCAGGTATATGAGTACACAGTTTAAGGGTCGTTTGATTAAAGTGTGAAAACATAAACAAATGAGGTTGCATTCGCATTTATAAAATTGGTAATAGCCGTTAGTTGATGCATAGAAAAATATTCTTTATCAAAACACAATTAATGAAACATTAGTATGGTTTCATGCTTTTTCACTATTAGAAATCTGTATTCCAAATGCACCAAAAACAAACTTGCAGCAGAAATTCTCCAGTTCTGACTCTTGTGTCGTGATATGTAGCTTTATCTATATGAGTACAGCCTTCTTGTTTTTCACAAATAGACACTTTAAAAGAACGCCCTGGGAATACTTCAAAAGCTCTAAAGCCACAAGGAAAGCCGTAGTCTCTGCTTACTCACGTGACATACTTTAAGTAAAAGGAACAAGGCTTTGTACGATTTTTCGGCTTATTTTTTGTCGTTATCTCAAAAACGATTGAATACAAAAAATAATCACATAAATTATTGCATTCAAAGCAATCCGATCCAATAGAAAATATATGCATGATGTTTCTCGTGTTTTCATTTTTTTTTATGCGGCCTCTGGTATTGCGGATATCAATGGGCGTCGATGATCACGGTGTACCCCGCTGCTCGTCGGTACCCTTCTTTTATAAAAAAATGGTTTTTGGAATGATAATTCACTGTAGTTACCTTCCAACACATTTTTATAATAATAGTCTTCAGATCGATCTATGCAAAGTAATAAGATGAAATTCTGTATCGTTTTTGTCAAAATTTAGTAAGTTCATGAGAAATTTATTTGTTTTCAAGCTTAACTTTAGCTTGAAAAACATACGCTAAGCTTTTAGCAAGCAGCAAAAAGGACCAGACTAAGTCTTATGTGTCGTTCCCACCAAGGGGACTCGAACCTGTCCTAATTTGGAAGAGGGAATCTTATGTTTGGCAAAGAAATCTCGAAAAACGTGTTTTTTCACTGTATCACAAGGTTATTTTAAATGACCCATGCTCAAAACGATGCGGCTAAAATGCTAAAGTAAGGCAAACTTAACGTAACGACCTTATTTTCTGAGCACGCAATGAAAGCGGCAACTGCCCACATGCTATTAAGTCAGTAATTAAAACTACCTCGGGTGCTATATATCTTAGAGCAGAGAACTCGACTAAATTGGAATTTATATACAGGTTGTCCCAGTTCAATGTGATTATTAAAATTGTGATGTAAAATTGTACGTTTTTTCTTTTACCAGGCATAGTGCTTCATTAAAAACTCCGTGCTATTTTTACACTTTGCTAATTTGCTTCCCTGTTAATTTTACCAATGTAGTACACCATATTTCTAAAAAGTTATCTTTTCAGAATATATATCTCCTATATTTAAGGTATTAAGCATTTAAGGGTTTATTGGTAAGATAATAATTATATCCATTACATATTTGTTTTTCTTTTTTCCATTTCAGGCCGCTTGGGATTGGTTGATTCTTATCCTTGTGATCTATACTGCAATATTCACGCCGTACGTGGCCGCCTTCCAGCTGAACGAGCCGGATTTTGACAAAAGATCGCGCAGCTTCGGCGAAGATCCAATTGTCGTTATTGATATGATAGGTAACTTTGATTTTTTAACTAATACTTATTGTGTTCTTGTTAACCTTTGTAAAATTAAAGCATGTTTCAGTATCACGTAATTACTATAACTAGCAGATATTTGACTTGTAATATGATTTAGAATGTTAGATACCTCATCTAAATGAGTCGATTAAACTAGATAACATTTTTATTACAGTTGATGTGACCTTCATAATTGACATCCTTATAAACTTCCGAACGACGTATGTGAACGCGGCTGACGAAGTTGAATCTGATCCGGCGAAGATCGCGATGCACTACCTGCGCGGCTGGTTTATCATCGACCTGGTGGCGGCCATCCCTTTCGACCTTCTCCTCTTCGGAACCAACACCGATGAAGTGAGCTGCTTTTACAACGCGACTACACTCTCATATGGCATAACCACACCCACACGTATAAATAACATTAGATCTAGATAACAACAAAAAACAAATGCCTGAGATTTAGTGGATTATAGAAACCAGATGGTCAATTGTCCGAAATTAAAAAAAAATATCTTGTTAAACAAACCGACTTTGTTTTACATATGAAAAGCTGTATCCACATTAAAATCAGTGACGTAGCTCGTCACATTACATTTGCGGCTGAAAATAGGTCATTTGGAACAGAAAGTAGGTCAATTTATACCCTCAGTAATCATTCCAATAGTGAGCTAACATAAGCAAGCCTCATCATTACAGTTATTATTAATAAAAGCGTTTATCAACATCGACTTTTCGGACAAATGAAGTTCTGGATATTGTTAGACATTTCACGTACAGTAGCGGAATGGATGCATTTAATGCAATGGACACTGTTCAATTCTATGCCACAAATTCAAAGACAGATAATATGCCGATCACGAATACGCCCCATCTCTTAAATTGGCTTTTTTATTTTCTGTCGTTAAGAAGTAACATATATAGTCACTTCTCGAAGTAAACCTGTTAATTATAATAATTTTTTATTCAATATGAAAATCGATAAATTAAAATAAATTATAATTAGGTTGTTTAATGTTACTTTATGCGAAGTTATTACTATAATTTTTCATGATTTATTTTTGTAATACCTTGACATAGTATAAAGAAAGAACCCAAGGTGGGTGCATACGAGTACTGAATCTGTAATTCCATTTCTTGTTACAGCAGGGGCTGGAAAGTGATGAGGTATAACATCTTTGTGAACTATTTTTTGTTGCTGCCACTATATTTTTATTGATCTTTAGTTAATTTTATTTTTATATATTTTAATTCGTTGATTTCCACTAGCTGTAAATCCACTAAGCGATTGCATAATGGAAGAGTTGGACGCTTCCCCTGAGCAAAAATATAAATTTGAAATAACACCGCGGCAGAAATAATGAAACGCTCACTCGCTGCAACCACGAGCTTAGCTACAAACATTTCTATTGGTTTGTCCGATCATCACTATTATATCTATCCCGTGATTACTTCTTTTACAAGCAAACAAAACATACTTATAAACTAATCTCAGAATTAAAGTAAAACGACGAGAATTAAAATAAACTATCGTTTTTAAAATTATTATTGTTGGAAATGTTCAAAACTCTTTTAGAACATTTTAGAAGTTTGAGGTTAGGAATAGCATATCTATGCAGTAGTACAAGACGAAGTAGATGTTATATTTAAAGATGGTTTTGGTAGCCTATATTAGGTTGATTCTGTCGTAATCATTGGGTTCATGATCATAAGCTTGTTATAGTTTGAGTGCAGAATCACGGGCACAGAGCTTCGTAAATGATACGCTCACACTTACCAGACTGAATCTTGTACAAAACAATGAAATGCCTTTCACAACATTTAATAGCACGAATAAACAATGAATATAATTATGGCACCCACCTTACATCAGAGAATATGATTTCATACATGTGTCCATTTGTCATAATCGTTTTACGATGACTCCTGTTAATCCATTATTTTCTTTGTCTTACACGGATATTTTTATTTGTTTTAAATTGTTTAGTTTTATTTTATGAGTTTTCTTTTTTATTTTATAAATTCAGTCAATTTAAATTTTAAATATAGCTACTTCATGCATACGAACTATAAAATATTATTCGTAACACAGTTTTTTGCAATTGGATTTTTTATACACTAAATATTCATAAATAAATTGTCAGTGATGTCCTCGTAACAATCTTTAATTTTATTAAGTACGATATTGTAATTTAAAAATTTTGTTTTTACAAGCTCTTTTTCTCTTGAAGCTGTATTTATGTTCATAAAACATATTTTTATATTAATTTCATGTGGCTAACATGTTTATGTAATTTAATTGTTATGTAATAAATGTTGTTAAACATTCGTTGAATTAAATCAATGTTCAAAGTCCACAATTTCCATCAAAAAGGAAAATATAGTCCGAATAGTCAAGCAAATAAAGTAGCAATATTTCTAACACGTTACTATTGCATAAATTAACATAATCGTTTAAATTATTATTATTTCGATTAAGTGTAAATTCGTATTAACCTAGTTTTTATTCAGTTAGAAAAGTATTGTAGGAAAGAACTTTATACGGATTCGTTACAAAAGAATTTAAATAGCTTAAAAAAATTAAAGTTGAAATTTACTTTTGATTAGTACATTAGTTGAATTATTCCATGCACCGCAAAATATAACGATGCTACAACCATAGTAAGAGATGATCGCTTACCGCAAAATTTACCTCAGTTTGGCTGAGTACAAGAATTGCATAGTAAATAAACTAGTGGAGTTTGCTTTGTTAGCGTGGTTCGCTGCGAGGCCTCATTAATGCTATATCATAAGCGAACATTCATTCAAAGCTTAAGTTCGATGCGCATAGAGCAGAGTAGTGAGCGGGTAGCGAGCACGCGTCTGAGCTGGCCCTCTGTTCGCAGACGACGACTCTCATCGGTCTACTGAAGACAGCGCGTCTCCTCCGGCTCGTGCGCGTCGCGCGCAAAATCGACCGGTACTCTGAATATGGCACTGCCGTCCTACTCCTCCTTATGGCTACATTCGTCCTTTTTGCCCATTGGCTTGCGTGTATTTGGTAAGTTTATTAATTTCCAAATAAACATAATCATTTCAAGGAAATTATAAAACAACCTTATAATCATTTGATCTCTACATTCATTCAACGTAGGTACATGTTGTAAACAATCCCATTTAATTAAATTCGCAACATAATGTTGAAAATATTGGGGATTCTGTTATTTTGATGATCCTCCCTCTCTCTTATTCCAGTAATTTTCATTTATGGGAACATACTTTTAATCATTCCACATGCTGGCAGTTATTATTTGTGTCCTTTCTCTATCGTTAATATTAATTGTAATGTATTCATTAGGTACGCAATTGGAAATTGGGAGAGACCTCAACTACAAGCTCCTATTGGCTGGTTGGATGCTCTTGCTAACGATGTGCAAGCTACTTACGATAATTCTACTGGCCCATCTATGAGGTAGGAGTGATAACTCATTAGTATTATACCAAACGCCTAACAATACATTCATTTCTAGTTAGTCTGTTATACTATTCGCAATAACCCTTAGTTTAATGTCATGAATCTAGAATTTATCAACAATAACTTAGTATTAATATTCCTATTCTTTTGTTTAGGCTAACAAATGCGCTATTAGAATTTCAGATTAAATATCCTTTAGTTATATTAACATTTAAAGTAAAATATAGAATATAAAAATAGCATTATCTATAAAGTTTTGATAATTAAAATATTTTTTGATCTATTTTATATCTAGTGGGTCAAGATTTTAATTCTTTTTCTCATATTCTCATTTGAGCACTTCATAGATGAACGTTTGAAGTTCGTTTAGAGATCGTTAAGGTTAACATACTTTTAATTTCAGGTCACGTTACATCACAGCTCTATATTTTACTTGCACCTCTCTAACCAGTGTGGGTTTTGGTAACGTGGCGCCTAACACAGATATGGAAAAAGGATTTACAATATTTGTCATGCTTCTTGGATGTTAGTATCACAAGTACTAAATGCTTTTAATATTAGTTGATTTTAACTTTTAGCTAATATAGTTTAAAATTAAATATTTGCTTAACACCAGCTATTCACCTCCATGTAATTTAATATTTTTCACACGTAATATTTTAACGGGATATTAGCGCTTAAAAGTCGATGTTTAACTTTAGATGAAATTTAATTTGTTCTAGCTGCATATTGTAATTTTATATTTTAGAAAATGAATTTTGAAATTGATTAAAAATCCAAATTGAAATTTCTCTTCGCAGCTCTAATGTACGCGAGTATTTTCGGTAACGTATCAGCAATAATACAACGTCTTTATTCCGGCACCGCGAGATATCACACGCAGATCTTGAGAGTGCGGGAGTTCATTAGATTTCATCAGGTAAATAATAATAAACGAATAATAAACGGTAATAATTATAAACGAATTTTAACACATTTTATACATTAACACCAGACTTAAATAATTTGTTCTTTGTACAAAGATTGCGAATCCATTACGGCAAAGACTTGAGGAATATTTCCAACATGCATGGAGTTATACGAACGGCATTGATACTTCGAGTGTGCTGAAAGGTTTTCCCGAGTGCCTCCAAGCTGACATCTGTCTACATTTGAATCGTAACCTCTTAGCTAATTGTGCTGCTTTCGAAGGAGCAAGTCCAGGATGTTTAAGGTATCATTTCAATTTTTAGTACTCATTTTTAATGAAACTTTGTAATTTAAAACAAAAACTTTTCTCGCGTATAGTTCTAACTTACAACAAAATTCATACACTTCGTATGAGAGTATGAAGTCCTTATTTGAGTTGACTTAGAGTTTCAATACAATTATCTTTTGTTACTGTTAGGAAGAAAATCCGACACTGTGCCGGTTTACTAGTACAACACTAGCCTTACTAAAATGTCGACGTTTATGTCCCATCACTAATCATTCTGACACTCGACTTAGTAACAAAAGCACGTCATTCACGCCAAATAATTCTTACTAATAATGTCTAAAAGTACTTACCTAGAAAACGCAATTGATTTCAGAAACGTGTATTATGATTTATTGTATTTAATACTGTCTCATTTGCAGAGCGCTGTCGTTAAGATTTAAAACTACCCACGCGCCGCCTGGGGAGACTTTAGTTCACCGTGGAGATGTGCTTACTTCGCTTTATTTCATCTCTCGGGGATCAATAGAAATTTTAAAGGACGATATTGTAATGGCTATTTTAGGTAAGAGAAAGTCCAATTATGTATAATTTTAAGAAGTAAAATTAGAAGATAAGACTAAAGCAATTAAGTTCTGTAAACTATGATTTCATTTTGCTTGCTACAGGTAAAGATGATATATTCGGCGAAAACCCGTGCATTTATTCGAGCGTTGGGCGAAGCAACTGCCGCGTCCGCGCGCTAACCTACTGCGACTTGCACCGTGTGCACCGTGACGACCTGCTCGACGTGCTCGACATGTACCCCGAGTTCCGCTCCACATTCGTCAACAATCTGGAGATCACCTACAACATGCGAGACGTTAGTTAAAAGCTATGTGCCACTCGACCATAGGGCGCAGCATCATAATTTATCTCTGCTGTCATAATAATTTGAACTTATTCTAAAATATAAAATATTAGAGTTTCATTATATGGATCAAATTTAAAATGTTAAATGTCTATTATAAAGTTCAGGGTAATGAGCTTGACTCTGTGTGATGACTTTTTGTTAGAATTTTTTTGATGATCAGGAAAGAAGTCAATATGTAGAAATAAAAAGTTGAGTTGTTTGATCTCATAGGAGGAGCTGGGCGGTATTGAGACACGGCGGCGCATGCGCTACGAGCACCCGTACGACGCGCGATTGCTACGGGAAGCATACGCGCGCAATACACGCCGCCCGCACACCGAGACGTTTGCCGACAAGGTGCGTGTGTACTTTAAAAGCATACCAAACTTTAATTACCCTCTTTTGTAGTTGTATTTATCGCCGTAGTTATTAATTATGACTTTGCCACATTTATTTTATTTAAATCAATTAGTTACCTTCGGCATTTTCGGCCACACCACACTCAAGGGGACTTCTTTTGAAAAACGAACTCTCTTTTAAGTGAATGGCTCTGCAATTTGAATTGTAGTTTCTTATTTGAATCTTATAATTTAACGCCACAATATAAAAGAGTTTTTTTTACTATTGTGTAGGATTCACAATGTAGCGATGAAGACACGGAGTCGCCCGCCAGTCGAGGCATTTTAGAATTTTCTGCGGACAAGGCAGGGCAGGACGTCACGCCTCTAAACTTTAACTTCAGCAAGCAACGCTCTACTACCCTCAATTCTATAACAGGTAAGATAGACATAAATACTGATAGCGAATGAAAACTAAACACAATTTTTTTATTTTATTTTTTACTAATTACCAAGCGCTTCATTGATGCATTAATTAGAAAATGAGCAAATTTATTATTTGCTAGTGAGTACCTATTAAATATTTAAACTGATGCAAAACTCAAAATAAAATGGAAGATTCTTTCGATTTTATTTTCTTTATTTATATTAGTGGTAAGCGTCAAGTGGTGCTTGGTATATATCAAATATAAATTCATAGAGTAGGTAGATGCACATTTAACTTCAACGGATAATGTGCAAAAACCCTTTTTTAAATAAGTCCCTACCCTGAAAAACTAAATTGAAACACAACTCTATTTTAGATATATCAAAACGTATGCAGTAGGTATCCTAACCAAATTTAATAAGGTAGATAAAAACAACTTTGTGTAAATGATCCATTTTGAAAAGACATAAATTTAGACCCATTTGCATACTTCCCTTTTTAATACATTTCTTTTAGTATTTTTAGGGGTATTAATGAGATTTTTTACTTATTTACAAAATAACAGACGTAAAAATAAGAGCTTCTTTTGAATGTATTATAAAATTATCATTGGTTTATAAAACATAGGCTGACGACGAGAACTAGATACGGTCAAATTTGTTCGTATAAGAGTATCAAAAAGCTTATGACAAAATGTAAATATTGTAAAGGCTACTAGGAAGCTTTTGTTTACACGTTACACGACCGATCTCATTACGGATGCCAGCATGTGTAAGCTTGAATTTGTCCCTGATTTTGTTAAATTTATCCTTTCCGGCTGACGCTGGCGAGTGCGTTGTGTATTGAAGGAAACTTGATCACGTTATGGAATTAGCCAATTAAAATGTATATAAACATAACTCGCTCCGCCATTGCGCGCCGGCGTACCGCTCTGAGCGCGGCCCTTGTGTGCAGGCATGCTAGCGCAACTTAAAAGGAGCTTCCCAGACCTCTACCACCATAAAACGCATCAGCCGCTACACAACAAATACTGTAAGTATTCATTTTTATATTAGTGCATGTTTATGATATTAAAAGATTTATGGATACTTTATTTTGTATTAAAAACAGTGTTTACATATTTTAAAATACATGGTGCCTAGAGCCGTCTTATGATAGCTTTGTGTTTTATTTGAGATCTTATAAGTTCAGAGCAGTTAAGATAGCTAGCAAACAGCAGTACTTTAGGAGGAAGCGCGAATTTGGAAAATGTAATTATTAAATATATAATTTAATGTATAGATGATTAACATGGGGTATTGTACATATCTATCTTATTGTTTTGTACATAAGCTTCTAACTGGTGGCGTTAGAAATATACTAAAATTCTAAGAAAATGAATCTTACATTTTTTTCCAAAGCGTACCACAAAAGTATAAACATTGTGGAACAGTATACAGATCTCTTCGCTCGCAATGATAATGTTTCAATTGATGATCTATTTTAAATCAATTAAGGTGGACAGAATAATTTGTCACAAGTGTTGTATTATCTTAATGTTGTACGAATTACAGCTCAATCCACCCCGCAAACGTACCGAGGGCGCGCGAGCGTGCGGCGGCAGTCGTCGGTGGGTCCGCTGAACGATACCTCGCCGCTGACGGGTGCCGCGGCGGCTGAGGAGGCGGCGGTGAGCACGCCTGCCCACAGCGCCACGCTGCCCGTCTCCAGCCTTAGCACCAACCCCAGCTCGTACTATACCAACGCCTCGCCGAGCCCGCCCGCCGTGCCCCTCGCGCCCCCTGCCCCCGTCCACGTGTCCTGCGACGACATTCTTGCGCCCGCGCAGCAGGCCGTCGCGCGCACTCCTTCCTGCAGGTCGGCGCCGCACTCCGCTGTCAACCTTCAACAGGCCGGCCGACCCACAGCCCTTCCCTTCACTGCCGAAAGAGCGCAGAATACAGCCAATATGCAGGTTCATATTTTATAACAATGTTTCATTATTAACAAATATCTGTTTTAATAGACGTTATATCGTCAGCACTCACCATATCACGTCACGATATTTCTAAGAGTATACCAACGATCGATATTCGACGTAATTTCTAGGAGGTGATGTCGCCTCAGTATCAGAACGTGGGTTCGGCGGCGACGGCGGCGTCAGTGGCCACCGTGCTGACAAGACTGGAGGAGCTGAGTCGTCGTGTGGCGCTACTGGAAAGCGGGTTGACGGCCGACGTACGCCGCATTCTGCAGCTGCTACAATCGCGCGAGCCCCTCGCCACGCACAACTCGCAGCCTGCGCACACGCCCTCGCAACCTCTTCCCAAGGCATCGCTCTCGGTGCCTCACGGCGAGGTATGTGTGGACACACTTGATGTCTTGTGTAGAGACCAGATTTTTCAGTGTTACAGCCAAGCGCTATGTGCAGTGCAATTTGCTAATTTAGTTCAGTAGTATATATAAGTTTTTTACTTCAGAACCAATGGGAGTGGAATTGGAACGGAGAGCGCGAGCGCGAGCGGGAGCGGGCTGCGGGGCGGCACGGGCGCGGAGAGCGCGCGCCCGGCGTGCAGCGCTCGGCATCCGAGCCACACGCGCCCGTGCCGCCCGCCCTGCCGCCGCCACCGCACTCGCACTCCTTCTACAGGTAAACTCTACCGCACACCTCAGTAGTGGAACTAAACTGACCAACTATCCGCGGATTGTAGAGTTCCAACCAAATTTCAAATGTTGAAGACATTCTGAAGTTGGTTCGCGATTAACTCTATTCATATACTATCTAAACGTTATGAGAGTCTAAGGGTATTCTGTAAATATAGGTAGTGTGAGGCGGGCGAGACGAGCGCCCTCCGCTCCCGGCCCTCTACGCGCTCGCTCGCCGAGTCGGCCTCGTGCGGCTCGCTGACGTGCGGCCCGGCGGCGGACGGGCAGTGCACGCAGGGCTCGCGGGGCTCGCCGGACGCGCCTGACGCGCCGGAGCCGACAGCGGCCGCGGCGCCGCGCGCTCGCTTCCACTTTTGCCGGCGTATCGCGCGCCTCCCCCGCCCCGACGCGCGGACCTTCCTGTGACGTGGCCCGACCCGAATGGACCAATTTTATAATTCTATCGATGCCTAAATTAACACGTCCTCGCGATATTGCGAGCGAGCCGGCCTCTGCCGCTCGTGTCGAGTCCATTTGTTAAAACTTCATGATATCTTTGTGAGTATTACCGGAGGAATGTCCAGGATCGTCGAGTGGAGCGGAACGGATCGTAGTGGGCGTGAGTTACATGTTCTTCAGTAGAGGTCGGCTGTAAGTCGAGGAGAGTGGCTTGCCTTGCGACAGCCGACGGACACGTTGGGTGCTTTAATTTTTTCGTAGTGTACAGGTTCTCCAAAGAAGCTGTTTATACATTTTTATTAATAATTATAACTAATAATTTACGATATGCAATAGCACTTTTGATCTTTTCTATTTGTTTATTTCGATGCGACGGATTCGGATTCAAACTTGTTGTTGTGTGGAACGTGTAGACGACTTCGATCTCAGCTGTGCAGTATGAAGTTTATAAGACTGAGACACTACGTAATAACAGTGAACTTGTATTTCCAGAAGGGAGTAAACGAAAAACGCTTTCTACCCGTCCTCGCTCCTTGCCTTTACATTGTAGCTAGGTAATGTCTAACACAACTTGATCAAGTGTCTACTTGAGATGCTCCTTGTGGAAGTGCGTTTGTGACAATTCACTTGGCCCATTTATTATTAATATTAACCGGTAACTTCATCGCTACGATAATCATATCCATTTAAATTATTATAACTATAATAGTATCATTCATTACTTACTTTATTAATTTTTATTTACAGTATTTCTTCTTAAATTCTTTAAACTAATTACATTACGTACGTAACGTTCAAAATATGGCTCTTGTTATTTGAATACATTGTATTTAAAATTTTATCAATTTACATAAATACTTTATAAAGTTTTGCTAAAATGGTCGCTCAAAAAGATATCATTAACATTATGTTATATCGTATATCCTAATTATGAAATAAGGTGATTCGCCAATATCATTGTAAGCAATAATGAAACCTACCATATTATAAGAATCGAAATTGTGACTGTACATATTGCTATGACATCAATTTATAATAATGTAAATTTTCACACAGGTTACGCTTAACTTTGTCATAAATGAACACCAATACTTTGAATAATCAAGTCTTTGCTACATCCAATACGTTGGAATTTTGTGCTTCGCTGTGTTTAGTCCCTTTCTATATTACATTTTAGTTGATATATTTATCTTGAAACCTTGTTTATTAGGTTTATATACACGCAAAAATAATTTATAATTTTCAAAAAACTAAATAATAATTAATGCCGACATGAACTTACATTATATAATTAACTATGAATAACAAGATCGCTTTATATTTAAGATGGCTGTAATGAGATTTCTTAAAATAAATTTGGTTTTAAAGGAGCTTTATTGTGAGACGTAACGCTTTTAAGTACAAAACGGGAAAGTACCATGATTGTTTTTAGAATAATTTGTTAAAATCTCAAACATTTTTATAATACAAGGTGGTAAACGAACTGCCATAAAAATCACTAAAATAGCGAAGTGACCGCTGCCCATAGACATGCAATAAGTTGAAGGTTTAAAGAATCCTTAACAATCACACAATCTTTTAACAATACTTCATGTACTGTTTAAAATCCATCCATCAATCGAATCCATAAACGCAAAGAATTTACAGAGGTTAAATACCTACTTTATTATTGTTTTTATATGTTAATCAGTTTTACAATGTGCCTTTTAAGTCGCGATTTCAAATTATCGCAAATGTTACCTGTTTTATCAACACTGAACGAATGTAAGAAATAGTTATTCATTGACATAAAAATAAGGTCACAATGCCCACTTGCGTTATTTTGCCGCGCAGCAAATAAACGCAAATGGGCGTCTGCTGTCAGACGATTGTTAGATTCAGTTATGAATCATTTTCATTTCATTAAACGAGTAGTTAATAGGTTATTATAAATAGAAATAGGTTTGTAATTTGGTCAATTGCGAGTAGTGATTACTCCTATTCTGAAATCTCTAATATTTAAATGAAGTAACAAAAAGTTATTTGCTTTGCCGCAAGTTACTGTTATACTAAAGCTAAGCACATTAGTTATTTGCTTTCGTAGTTGTAGACTCTTGTAATCTTATATAATAAAATATAAATTTTACACATTTCATACATTTAGATCTATTTGTTCATATTCAAGACAATATAATCTTTTTTTTAATACTAGCTTACAATGAAAATAGAGGCTCGTAGTATTTATATAATTTTTAAAGTTAAATTCTGCACAATTTTTTTAAGTTAAATATTAGGATTTTTAATTACGACTTGTTGTATCTTAATTATTTTTTTATCTTCTTATACTTAATTATAAGAAATATTTTGTTTTAAATATTTATACGTTTAAGAAATATTTTTAAGTAAATATAAATAAGATTGGATTTGCATATTTTTACGTACGGATAATTGTAATGTTAATGATTTTTATTGTTGAATGCTATTTTATTTATTTTCTTTTACAGAAAAATTCATTAGCAATAGTTAACTTCTAATAAACATAATTCATATAATTCTGTTACTTCGTTCATTAATCTCTTAACATTTTGATATCAGAATTTTTTATAACTTAAACTACGAGCTAATTTGTTAAATGATTTTATTTATTACTTAATTATGTTAGTTTTAGTGTAATTTCATCTAATGGCAATACCAATAAGAATTTTACAAATGTTAATAATATTAAAGCTACGAAGCGCACAATCCAAAACCCATTTAGTCTTGGTGGCCATTAATCGATCTTGAACCATCTTTCCATAAAAAAATGTTTTAACTAACATTGTTAACAATCAAAGTTAATAAAATTCGGATTGAACTGAAGGATCGCTTATTCGGTTCAGTCTTACAACAAATAAACATTAGCTCCGCTCTTTACCCAACCTTGAGTAACCCCTTACTTATCTATGGTTCATCATTAAGTCTAAGCGCTTAAGCACAGGGTGTTTTGGATTTAACAATAGTACCTACTAGCTGTCTAGACATTAATTAATATTAGATGTGTATGATTCAATAATTATAGTTAAAGTTTAAATCTCGCTTACAATACTAGACCGCACATCATTTCTATAAAGTGTACCTACACATTTTCGTTTTTTTATAAATCATTCTTCGTAGATTTTTATCAACCCGAAGTTTTAGAAGCAATAGCTCTTTAACACACATTTATTACCTCCTAAGACACCAATTTATTATGAGTCGTATAACTCTTCACTATCAAAGGTATCAAGAAACAAATCAATTAATAATTAATTTAATTGTCTTATTTTCAGTGATTTTACAAACAGACACGATTTGTTTCTGCTTCATAGACACCTAAACATTGTAGATGCCTCATTCATATAAATTTCACAAATCGGTCAATGTTAACTTTTTAATTTTATCTAAATTCAATATTAAAAAATAATAATTTAATGTTCAATGCAATGAGATCGTAGAACTTGTTACGATTACTGCATTTTACTCCTAAATGTTGTGCTACTTTTGCTTTTGAGACAGTGGCGCTAGTGCGCCGTCATAATTTTAGTTTGACTTATACTCACCGGGTCAAATAACTTTATCAGTTTATATTCAAAAAGACCTTTCAGACAAGTTTACACCTATCCCAACATTAACAGTACTTCAGAACGATAGAAATTTCATTTAGCACTTTGGACAGAAAAGACCTTTTGACCTTTGTTTTCAGCGTGCCTAATAAAATGTCAAGTACTAAGATCTATATTTAGTTAAAATTATAACAAACTCAATGTAAAAATAAGTCATCGAATCATGAATGGATATTATAAATAATTTAACTCTGCTTTTCTGCTGAGTAACGTATCCACGTAACTTTTCCTAGAGAAATCTTAACAAAATCGTGTCTGTGTCTAGATGTATTAATAAGGTGCCCTTTTACGAATGCCTATTTTAAGTAAGCTTTTTAATTCTTTTAGAATATATATTCTTTTCAATTTATCTAATGTATAACTGTTGCTTAATTTGAAAATTATTGTCTTAATAATTATTGTCACACAACACTGGTTGTTTCAGCTTTTAATAAACACGTAATTATATTATATTAGAATATTGTATTGATAAGTTTAGTACTTTATATTTCATCAACATTTAACGCAAACAAAATGCGTGTGAATAATAATAATTAGTAATTTTGTCTGTGATCGAAATTTTATATTGTTAAGCTGAAAATAAAGCGAATATCAGTGAACATGTTACATTTAAATATATTTATTTCTTTATACATTCTGAACAAAAAAAAATATTTGTTACTACAATTTTGGTTTAAAATTAAATGATTTATTTTCGTCGCGTTTTGTCCAAAAGTAAATCCAGAATGTATAAATAAATATTTCCATAAAAATGTTTTATGATATTTCCAATGCGTTTATTTTATTAATGTGATGTTTTATTCACCGACATAAGCTATTTTAGTTTTTGTTACACAAAATCTTTTTCTAAAGCATGTTGCGTGTTTCTAGCGCCAGGCGACTCAATTTCGTAATTTAGAAAGTAAGCGCAATGAGGTTTAATAATTAGGTACGGCTTAAGGTAAGCATAAACACATCAGGATTTTGCATCAATCGTTAGATAGGTAAGCGAGTTCGTGAAGATATATCGTCGGTTATTGTAAAGCTCTTGTCGTCTAGTGTGTAGCGGCTTGTTCACCACTCGATAACATTCTAAAATAATATTGTATTATATAAGACAATAATGAAGACATTCTAAAAATTCTAAACAATTTACTTTGATTTAATCCTCTCGTTACATTTGCAACCATGTCCAATTTCAGTTATGAGTGGTTTTCAAGCCTCTCTGTACAAACACATCTAAAATTAGTTTGTAAAAGTCACTCGAACATCTATTGAATACTGACTATGAGAGAAAAGAACAGTTTATGTATATTGAAAGGATAAAATCACTTATTAACGCTTTACGAATAATTTTTATACGACGTTATTATTGAACGTTCGCTCATTATTGTTACACTGATTAATAATACCGGAATACGTGCTAAGTATTGTACATGTTTGTACGGAAATCATTTTAATTAAACAGAGCACATTAGTCATATAGTTTAATAAAACTTTGCATTCATTGGACAGCGCAAAATTCTCGTTGAATATATCTAAATAAGATCAATGAAATAAAATATCACGCACATGCGAATTGTTGTTTTATTTCTAGAGAACTATTTTGTCTTTTCATGTATCCTTTCTTGCAATGCCACGTCTGTCATATCTGGGTAGGTGTAATAAAACCTTTGATGAGGGTGAGACGTGACCTATTGAACGAATCAGGCAGCTGTAGGCCACATAGCCATACCACACTATTATGGATTTTTTTCAGTTAGCCTCTAGCCATTTATGTTTGCATTTTATTGACATCAATTTAATTATTATTATCAAATGTGGAATCGGGTCGTCTATTTTCTTACAATTTTCAACAAATGATTGTATAATACATTATTTATTCAAGAAAAGTTTTGATAAGATAATAGTTATAGAATATAGATACGGAAAATGGTTTAGGGTTGCATGACTAAAAATCTGTGCGCTTATTAGTCTGTCTAACGCATGTTACTGTCATTGTCATATGTCAATTATGTTTACCTACAACTTTAAAATGTCGCGTTAATCCTATACTTTTTTGGATTTAACATAAGTTTGTACATTTTACAAATATTAAGACATAACTGATAGATATTTACTATGGAACAAGGAAGAAATATAATTAAATGTCGCAAATGTCGTCATGTTCTCTTAAACGACACAAATATTGCACATAACCCCAAGTCGTGCGGCACTAAAGATTGCGAGAATTACGATTTAAATAGATTTATTTATCTTTATGAAGATAAAATTCCACCATGGATCAGAACAAAAGTTGAGGATGAACAATGGACTAAAGGAAAATTACACTGTGAAAATTGTGGCTACAAAGTTGGGTCATTTGATTTTATCTCGGGTAGAAAATGCGACTGTGGAAAGTCAGTGTTGCCTCCAATTCATTTTATATCTAGTCAAGTTGATATACCTATACAGATTAAAAGTTTAATGAAAGTTTAAATGTCGTTTTCCTTTTTTGTATGTAACATTTTAAAGCAATGTAAAGGGTAACCTAAAAGGAAATAACTCAATGACATAAAAATTAAAAAAACATACACAATATAAATTGATTTATATACAAAACATTGTCATATTTATTCCACCGCCATACAGTTCTGTAAAGCTTCATTGACTTCAACATCTCTGCACTGTGCAGATTGTAACTCCCTGCGAATCTAAAACAAATATACAATCTTACTTGTGTATAAATACTAATAATGCTGAAAGTGAATAAACCAAAACATACATGGTACTCAGATCTAATAACATATCATTGTTCTTACCTCTGGTGTGATGGTAGGGTGTGATTGTTTTCTCAATAATTCTAAGAGTGCATCCCGTTGCTCTGTAGAAATATCAGCTTTGTAGCGTTGAACAAATGTTAGAAGAGCCTGGTGCCACAGCACTGGCAACATTCTAGACTCTGTTTGGAACCTATGAAAAGGTAGTAACTTCAGGTTGTTTTTTCAATAAACATAATAATGAACCAACTGGCTAATTAATATCTGTGTTCAGCTAAACATTATGTTTTTTTCAATATTTAAATTTTGGAAACAACTTTTCCAATAACAAATATGCAAAACAGACATGACAATGTTATAGACTCACCTTAGAAAATGAAAAACAACAGAATCCACAACCCTGTATGGAAGAGCATATTTTTTGTCGAACAATATTCGTAAAAATATAGAATTGGCACCAGTATAGTCCATTTCGGCGATTTTCAACAAAGCTGCACTAGAGTGCAAAACTGGCACTGAATTACGGGCCAATACAGAGCCAACAATAATAGCTTCGCGCAATGTGCAGTCACCTGACTGTAATCATTGATTATTTTTAAATACTCACAAGTTTATTAAAGTTATAATTGAACCAACAAATATTTAGTAAAAATAAAATATATACCTCTAACAAAGGCAGCAAAATTCCTTTCATAAATGCTCCTGGCTTAAATAGGGACTTTCGTAGTGCTTGATATAAATGGAAGTTTAATCTTTTGTATTCAGCTAAATCATCTCTAACACGAGGAAGTAGAACCAGATTATAGAATCTTTGTGCCATCTTTTCTTTAAGATTTGATGCAAAAATTCTGGTAGCCTAAAAAAATTGAAAATCAACAAATTAGAAAAAAAAAAAGAATTAATAATTGAAAGCATTAATGCATCATAGAATACTTACCTGATACATTGCCGCAGCTGACCAAGTTGTTGGTTCAGTTAAATATAGTATTTGCTCCCAATTTTGTAGATGTGGGATCATTTTAAAAGCTTTAGGTAATTTACCTGAGCGATATTTTTGTAAAACATCCCTTACACCTTGGTACATTGTTTTTATCCTAAAAGATAAGTTATAATTTACTAGATGTTACCCACAACACATTCTGCTCGGAATTAACTTAATTAGTAGCCGGTGCTCTTCCAGGTTATGTCCTACATCTATGACAAATTTCAGCAAGATCCATGCAGCTATTTTAGAGATACCTTTTAACAAACATCTATCCGTCCATACTCCCAAACTTTCACATTTGTATCAGTAAGATTGTAAGTTGATGATTAATTTTGAGGTTGCTTAAAAATGAGGCTGGTTAAATAACACAATTCAACTATGGTTGTTAAATAATGAAAAAACATTTTATAGAAAGAATAGAAATAGAAAAACCTTGGATCAATATTTTGTAGCTTCAATGTTTCTACATCTGAGAATTGTGTTTGCAGTTCAGTATGTTTGTCTGTTATCTTGTCTTTTATAATATCTGCTAATGTCCTGGTCTTCTCTGGTCTACTAGACATGAACATTCTCAAAGCCTCTTCATCTTCCTCATTGATTTCAATATTGTCATAATAAGTATCAGGCTCCAAGTCGTCTGTATCAGACTCAACTTCATTGTCAGAACTTGCTTCTGTAATGTAATAATTACAAATGAGTTCACTTGATTAAAAAATTTCACTAAAAATGTTTAAGTCATTGTAGTCCTTGTACCATTGATGTCCAGTGGAAGAACATGTTTAACTGATGCACTAGTTTCACCATCACCAAGTTCAACTTGCTGTCTTCTTGCAGCCTTCAATATTTTCTTGGATAAATCTGCATTCACAAACTTATTTAAAAAACAATAACACTGAACATTTAAATGACCATATCAACTGTAAAAATAACTATAGAATACTCACTTCTTCGTCATCATCATGTCGGTTCTTCTGCTTAATGCGACTCTTATTTTTAACAGAATTTACAGCCTCAATCTGATCCGCAAGTGCGATATTTTTACCAATTTGAGATGGCTTTAATTTTTTTGCTTTTCCCATTTTAATGACCAAAGATTGTTATACTAAGACAATCTAGAAAGACTGACAATAACGGAAGTTCCAGTTAGTGCTGGTATTCTCAAATTCAATATATATTTATATAAATAAATATCGTTCGCAACAATCACACCATGCTTTCAAGAGAAAAGAACCATATTTCATGTCATATGTACAAGACTTTGATTGACATTTAAACAATCATTTTGACTTTGGCATTTAAATTTTACAGATAAAAAAAATTACAGAAAATGTAAAAAATTGTCCAATAGTTGAATGGATGCTATTTTTTTTTAATTAACAATATTTGGACAACCTACACAGAATAATTTTAGAATCCGCCAACATTATTTTTCAATTGACATCCAAAGTTATACCTATAACCTGATATCATCGTTTACTCTTGGGCAACACTAAAAACAAAAAATAACTATATATCAGATAGAAAAAGGATATAAAATAAATGATAACAATATATTTTTTTAATTCATATAACATTAGCTAAATAGGAAAATAAAGGAAACAGACAGAACTGCTTACATCAGTTTACTATGTAATTTTAAAAAAATAGTGTCAAAAAAAAACAAAACTACTTTTTTTCTTATTTTCTTTATTTATCATTCAAGTAAGAAACAAAATGTTTTTATTAATTGTATGATTCCAGGCGTGCTATGGTATCTTTCAGATTTGTGTTGATATTGTCGATTGCGCTCTGCACAGCCGAACGAATGATCATACCGACCTCCTTGATGATAGTCGTATCGAAGATTCTAAGGAACACACTGACTACTGGATTTACCAACCAATCAATCAAAGCATTACCCGTAAGCTTCACACGTAGCCGTCTGAAAATGTTGAAAATGTTAATTATAATTTTGTCGCACCAAGCTAATAAAAGGGGATCAATTGAGGTTTATAATTCATTTATTGCAATTTGCTTACCGTAGGTTTTTGAGACCAAAATCTCTTTTAAGCATAATTTATCTCTGTTTTGTCAAAGATGACATGGATGACAATATGTTTTTTTACTGATATTGGTCTCAGAAACCGACTACCGACCGACAGAGCCTAGAGTTTTAATCATTTGGACTGTCTTACCCAATATTCGTTAATGACAATTGTTGGAGTTGCATTTCATCGTTGTTGAAGTCAATGAGGACATCCGCTACAACATCTAAACGATTCAGGGAACCGACGATGCCACCCGTAGGACCAATGTTCATTACTTTTACCAGGTACCTGTATTTGAACTGGAAATAAAAAAAAACGGTTACGTAGAGTCATTAGTATACTGATCGTAAATTCGGTTTCACAACACACAAACAGGTGATCTAAAAAAAGTTATTAAAAATAATATAATAGAATATGTGCTATTTAATATAATTTTACACACATTACTTGTGCGTAGAAGCTTTGCCGATGACCGCATGACGTCACGTGTCGATGGTCAGTACGGTTGACCAAAAAGGTTTTATAATTAGTTGTTGCAATTTTATTATTGTAACAACTATACTATACTCAATATAAAAGTAATAAAAATATTTTCGGTAGAAAGTGTCCACATTTCTTCCCATGGATATCAAAAGTGGACCAAGGTAAGATCAGTAAATAAAAACAAACAAAACAACAAGTAAAACGTAACAAAAGAACAACAATAAACAACGAAAACAAATAATTAGGAAAAAACAAGTATTTGGCTGCGTTGACTAACGGTATTTTTCAGACGAGTGCGGGACGTTAATGGAAGGTAGAGTCATCTGCAAACATTCTGCGTATGGCTAGTACCAATTCACTTTAGGTTTAACTGTTTTATATATAAAAAAGCGGATTTGCAAAGGAAACCCACCTCGAGGTCTTCGAAGCGCAGTTGTACTTTGACGCGCAACATTTTTGCGAAGTAGTTAACCTGTTGGTCACCAGAGCGTGACAGATTTACCAATCCCGTCATAGTACCATCATGTAGCTTCAGTAACGCACTGTATGTTACCCACATAGGTTTCTGCAATAAAAAATAGTTAAAGTCGAATCTGGATAAGTAATAGTCCAAGAGACAGCGATATATTTGTCGTTTTTAGTTATCGCCTGCAACTCAGTCTGTGCGAAATTAAAAAAAAAACTTAATAAGTGACATATGTTCTTCCAGACTGTGTTCTTCGTCGATCGCCTTTCTAACGAACATCCATCCATCCAAAGATTCGCATTTATAATATTAGTAAGATATAATGTTATTAAGATAGTGATTTCTCTCGATCCCGACTTTCTCACTTATTTTGATCAATCCCTTACAATTAATAATAAATACCATAATATGTTTAGATATAGTGTTAATAATAACAATAGTTCATCGTAACACAATATTTCAACAATTTTAAATCAAGGTTAATCCAATTTTACAGTTATCGAACCGGATATGGTTAAATACACATTTAAGAGGCCTTTAAAGGTTTAAAAATGAAGCTAGTTGTGTTTATATAACATGTATTTAAAATATTTTCAAATCCGAGAACCTTAGTGTAGGCTGTTATTGACAATGATTCAACCTTATATCCGTATTAATGTTTTCCATTTATGTAACCCGGAAACGTTACGGGTAAAAACGTAAGAAGTTAGTGGAATCTTTTAGTAATTTATTAACAATCTAAGCAGTAAGCCTTATAGTTTTATTTAATCTATAGGTTAAAAACTAACATATATTGTAACTAATAATCTTATCCTGTACCTAAGCGATAAAACTTACGAAATATAAGATTAATATCTTAAATCTTTTAATTTGTTTCAATGTGGTTTATCCTTTTAATCGGTTTCTGATTTAAATCATTTTTTATCGAAATCAAAGAGGATTTTAGAAAAGCCGTGTAACAATTGGTAAATATTTGTAGTGGATGTGTGAGAGTGTGTTTATTACAATAATGTAATACAAAATTCCTTCTAAAAAGATATGATTTTAATAAAATATTATGATTAAATTAATGACTGATTAATGAACATTTTAGTTTTTTTCCAAAATACCAACCACTTCAAAACCTTCGCTGATATCGGGTAGCTTCATAGGGTCGAGGCCATTGTTCTGTATAAATGGCACCAACATTTGAACCGTGTTGTCGATGTACTCGTTGATGTTCGCCGTCTGACCGTGGCCCCATCTTAAACTAAACACGAAATTTTACAAAAAATACAGATGAATACGACATTGTTTTACATAAAAACGTCGTCTCATAACTGATTATAAAAATCAATAGATTCCTAGTTATAGATGCCTTGGTAAACAATAAAATATCGGTTAAAAAGTCTATTATTATGACTAAATAGTTCAATGTCACTGGTTATAATTTTTTATGTAGCTTGTATATGCTATTATACATACTTGGATATAACGAGATCCAAAACGAATTAGAAGTAACATGGCATTTCCTGTTTCTTTTAATTTTTTTATCATTGGAAGACGACAGACTCTGTTGGGTCACGGATCGGGTTCGATAAAATCTTCTTGATTTCAAACCGGAAAAGACACAATTCTCTTTGTCGTGTATCTTCCGTTACCGAGATCTTACTGGAAGACACGACCAGCAGGTACACTTGGCGTAGTCCATTATTAAAAAAAAGCTTACCCAGGGTAAAGGGTTTTTACAATGTTGGCCTCAGCAGACACGAGGCATATAGCCAATGCCACCACTGTTAACTTCATCATCGTACTCCAATAAAACTATCTGTTTTCCTTGCTAATGGAACCTTTTATAAGACCTAGATCGATTGATAATTGAGCAACAAACATTATCACAATATTAAAAGCAAACCGATCTGATAACATTTCGGATACAAATCATGATTATTATGATAGTTACCACACTATTACAATATTTATTGTTAAGGAACAATTAATGAGTTGATATTCCTTTCTGCGGCGTAATTTATTAATTTGATATAATAATTAAGATGATAAAAATGTTGTACGATATTATTTTGTTTCTATAGTTACACCCTTCTTCCATGTTTAACCTGTTAATCTGTAATTACGTATAAAAACCTAATTTCTCTTAACCATGTTCAGATCAGTGATTTTGTTTTTTTCCAGCCAACAATACTACGCTTGACGTCATCTGTTCATTACTTATAACTATGTAATAATTATATATCTAGTGATTTATATCGTCTATGTTTATATAATCGTACTTTGTATGGATGTTAAAAATACGAATGTGTAGATGGATGGATGGGTGTTTGTTTGAAGCTATCTCCAGAACGGCTCAACAGATCTTGATGAAATATGACAGTAATGTAGAACATTGACTCAAAGAATACATAGGTTCCTAATTTACTTTAATTTTAATTTCGCGCGGACGGGAACGTGGGCGACAGTTGTTTATTTATACATACATAAGTACTGCAGACAATACTTCGGTCAACAATTTTATTTGTTACGTTAAAATCACTTATGGCTATCACCTTCGTCAATATCGAGGCCGTGTTACATTCCGGGTTCAAGGTTAAAAAAAACACTAGTTAATGTAAAATATGTATTTATCAACCACATTTTCCATGACCCAAACAATTCAAATACAGACATTTGAAATATTTAACAAACCACATAATAACCATATAATTACGTATTATTTATTTATTAAACAGATTATATTGTTACTATTCCAGCATCACCGACTCTTAGCGTCTATAAGCCATTGTACTTATCACCTATTTAAATAACAAAATAAATACAGATTTACTTTATAAATATAACAAAAGTACTTCTTTTGAAAATATATTACTCGTATGTAAATCAAAAATATTCAACTCAAAAACATTTTCAATTCAAATTTTGGTGCTATCGACAACGTGTCTCGTTAAAACAAAAGTGTAATAATTTTTTCAAATTATGGCCACTCAAAGAAATGAAAATAAATAAAAACTATAAATAGAAATAAATTACCAAAAATATTTAATTTGTCTAAGAAAATTATTTAAGCTTATATTTGCTTTTTAACATCTTTACTTAGCATTTTATTTCTCTGCTTTAACATATGTCCAAATAAGACAGGGAATAATGGAATATACAAAAGCATATAGAATATTAAAAAGTAATAATAATTAAATATGAAGTTCCATTTATTTGGCATTAGAACTGTAAATAACTTATGGGAAGCAATTTCATCGAGAGCATGATACATACACAGCAGTTCCCCCGTTATCCCAAGTGGATACAATACAAGGAAAGTCGAATATCTGGAATGAAAAATATTAACATTAAAAAATATCGCTATAACACTCTGGTTGATATAAATACAAAGTCGCACGTCACATTTTAAAAGCGGTCAAGTGAAGGTTAAAGACGTCAAACGGTGAGACAAAGAGGACAAACGGAACGCTCATACATTGGATGCACGAAAAACGTTACCGTCGTTTTTTTGTCAAGTCACTTAAAGACATGTCATATTGATAAAAATATTAATCCAAGATTCAGATTGTTTTAATAAAATTACATATGTATTTTAGTTTAATATTTAATGTTTTATAGTAAGTCATGTATAACGTAGCCAGACGTCCCATTTTGAACGGGACTGTCTCTTTTTATCGTTACGAAAAAAAATGCGGGGTTGTTGGTAATTAAGCCTAAGTTAGGGTCGATGAAGAGTTTCATACTTGCTTAAAATCATCACAAGCTATTATTCATAGGTACTTAGATTAAAACAAAGTTGTTCCTCTGATAAATATAATCAACGTTTCTGCAATATGTATTTTTTAATTTGTAAAGAAATTAAAAAAAACTTTTACTTTTCATTGACTACCTGTTAATTACCTAAAAAAAGAATGTCCCGTTTTGAGTCAAAACATATATGCTCACGTTAATTACGTAGTATAGTAGTGTGTAGTATAAATGAAATACAAATTCACACAAGCTCAGCGCATTGTTTACAAATTCATTTCGAACGCTCCTTATTGGTTGTTGCTAACTCACACAAGGACAAAAAATCGATATCAAAGTACATATTAACTGTTTGACTTTATGAGGTCAAAATAAACTTATTATGCAAACACGTATATTCAATTACTTTACTGCTATACAAAAATAAGACTATCACTATGATATTCCAACTAAAATTCGATCACCTGACTGTAATTAATTTTAACTGAAATCCTGGTTGTAGTCCTAGGGTCGAACACCGCGTTTCACCACCTTATTTTTTTTTATTTTCGAATGTATGTACATTTATCAGACACTTTACGGTCAAGAAAAACATCATAAGGAAACCACAAATGAAAGAATTTGAAAGAAAGGCATATATGAATTGATAAATACCTTAAAAAGAGCAGAGATTGTGGCACGGAATTAGTCAAGTTGAGTGCATAGTATCCGTATCGTACGATCTCAGTGATGGACCAGGCGAGCACACAGAGCGGCAAACCGGGGCTGGCGGGGGCGCCCTGTGTTGTCAACAATACGCCGCACACGAGGAACACACGAGAATACACCTGCATCAGGACCACCATCACACCTGACGGCACCAACCTCAAAGCCGCGTGCACTACCTGCAAAATAAATAACATAACATTTGTTAAATTTTCTTTGTCACCGTTCAATGTTCATTTAACATCTCTTATCGTTGGTTTCTGAGACTAAAATCCTTTCGTAAAATATATCGATTTCGCTCTTATCTTTGACAAAATAGAGGTAATATGTTTTATACAGGGATTTTAGTCTTAGAAACCAGCAGTTAGAGACCTTTTTCTTTTGTGTGCGATTCGTAAGAGATCTCAGTAAAGAAGATAGACAGACAAAAAAAATTATTAAAACAAAAATTCCAATTTATAAATGCAACATCATGTTCGCGAAATACGTTTTTTTTCGACACTACAGAGACTAATGATTTTCAATTTATTAAGTAAATATATAATAGTTTTTGAGAAATTTATGTGAAATACTCAATTTGTAATAAATAATACTGATAATATTATATATAATGCATAATTTTTAAATTAATTATTATACTTTCGATACAAGAAAAAAGTAAAAGGACGACATTTATGACAAATAAAGGGCGTTAAAACTTATTGCAAAAAAAAATTCTCTATCAAAAAATTATCATCGCTTCTTTTACGATTCATCTCATAGACTTATGGACACCGTTAGATGTATGGTATGTAGGCCGTTTCGTGCGTATAAGGTGGTTTAACACGTCAAGGTATTGATTTATTTAAAAAACGCTTGCCTCCTCAGCAATGAATATTTATGAATTCACATTAAATTTACGAGTCACGCGACGCGGACTTTAACCTGTCTGAAAATATTCATTCATTGCCTTTTTTAACACTGGTATTGATATAAAATTATTTGAAGCAAATTAAAAAAAAAATTAGTAACGGCACCACATAGCTTGAATGCTAAATATATATTCAGTAAGAAGGGTAAATATCGCATTGTATATGTAAGGTGGTCAATTTAACTGCAACATTCTGGTGGGGGGTTCCAAACTAGCCAATTTTTTTTTAAGAGATAATGCTTATCCACAATTTTTTTATGTAAACTGACAAATCATTATTTGGTTATCTATGTGGGTCTAAAGTTTATTTGTCCAATTCCCATTTATAGATTCCTTAGCAAAACCCATGGGCAGTGCTCACTTTAGTGTTTAGAATTAATATAAAGTAGCCACTTGCTAATTTGCCACCTTCTACTATAAACTAAAATAAAACATGATGGATACAAATGATGAAAAATATTCATCTTTAATATAGCAAATAAATCCTATTTTTTACTGAAATTTTAAAAAATACATCTAACTAATAAATATAAATTTGAATGTTTAGTTGGAAGGATGGATGCTTATTAGAAGGTATCACTAGAACAGTATAGCTGTTATTGCTTATTATTGCTACCCAACGATAGTATTTCACACGAACGAATTTGCGGGCATAGCTATTATTAAATAAAAGAAATAAAAAGATTTTATGTTTTAAAACTAATAAAACAATAACAATGTAATTATTTGAATATTTTTAATTACACACATAGCCACAAATAGGACAAAAGGACACTGAAACACTGTTTTGAAATTAACATCTAAACATATTTTGATTGTTCAGACTTCAATTTAATATAAAAGCAAAATTGTGATTTTTTCAAAATCATCTTAATGTTCTCAATGTTTAACTATTATATTATATATTCTAATGTAATAACACAACTCTTTTATATTTTTTTATACTATGGAATATTCAAACTGGTTAAATCTCAGTGTAGAGATCAGGAGAGTAATAGGAAACAATAACATACATAAATTACAAACCTCAACAAAGCAGTTACATTATTATTACCCATTGTATTTAAATTCCAATCTAATTAGACATGTAACCAGTAGAAGTAAAAAGAAACCTTTTTAAATAATGTAAAATCAAATACATTTATAAATAATTCTTGGTTTTTTGGTAATTGTGGCAATCTTTGTCTCATGGCTGAACAAACAAGAAAGAAAAGTAAATAACAATACACTTCTCATTATCTTCTTTACTTTATAGAAGTGCACTAAATCAGGCTAAAATATGATCAAGTGCAATCTTAAAAAATAATAAACTATATTAGTCTATATATGGATCAAAAAATATTCATCTTACCTCTAAAATTGCAGCATTTTGAAATATAATAATAGTCCATTTTACTTCACCCCAATATGTTGCAAGTGTTCCACGGTTTAAAAAATGAACTGCTGACTCCCATAATAAATAAAACCAACTGAAAGAGAAATTCATAAATTGATGTTAATACTTGCGGTTTTTCAAAAATTGAAACGAATTAAAGACATGGTAAACACTTTATTATAAAATAAAATGTGATTAAAACCGTTTATGTTCTGATATTATTTGAAATTATCAAAATTTACTTACCCTATAGTTTGAATAATATTATAGGACAAGAGGTATAATTTTCCCAGTGCAGAGGGTTCCGAGGGTATAATCTTTTTTATCACTTTATCAATCATTTTATAACAAATTTCATACAACTTTATAATTGAAGAAATTTAAAATTTAAATTAAAATTAGCACTACATAAGCAACGTCAAATAGACCAAATATCATAGATAATAAACACACATAAAGTTGACTATCACCTAGAACGATACGATACCAATCACAAGCAATAAGCAATCACAAGTTCACAATTGGTTCACAAGTCACAACAAAGAGTATATAAATGAGTCACAAGCACAAAACTGCAGCTAGGGATGCACAATCCGATCCTTGGTGGATGTGTGGATGTGGATACAATGAAAAATGATCCGTTAGATTTTTGTGTGGATACAATGGCATTCGATCGGATGTTAAATCGATACATGTATATAGTGGATCGGATCGCAAAACATGAGTTATAATTATTAAAGTTACATTATTGATTGCTTCGCAATAGGCTAGTTATTTAGTCGAGTACCTTTGTCGAGTAATTTAGTTACTAAATTACTCTTTACTGCCCAAAAAGTATTCAAGGTAATTGCTAGTAATATCATGTTAATTAACTGCGATATTAGATCTTAGGGCAACGAACAGATATTCCAAGATATTAATTTTTTTTAATAGTTTATTATAAATTCGATAAAATAATGAAAAAAATCAAATATTCGATGCTTCTATAAAATATACCGATATATCAAAGAGTAAAATATATCGAATACAACACAAGATATTTGTCAAAACATTGGATCATTCGGATTTACATCGAACAAATTTGACATATCGATGTTAAGGACATCCCTAGTTCACGTTGGCCATCTTTCTTTTTCTTTAGCGTTTGCTATCACAAGCGTCAGGTATTTTACTTTTATATTCTTTTTAACTTTTAAGTCGTCTATTTAATTTTAATTTCTTAACTTTAATTGTGTTTTTTTTAAATTGTCTAACACTACATTATTTCTTTCAGTATTGATTACTGCAAAAATCAAAAATGGTTGCGGCAAAGAAACAAGTGAGTATTATAACACGTGTATTTCGAATGGACTTGTGGCATGGTTTTTTATTATTGGTAAAAAACCTCTTCATTAGTCCTATAATAAATGTTGCTCGATAGGCTTGCTATTTCAATAAATAGCAGGGTTGAGGATGCACCTTACATGATTTTTAGGTTATTAAACGTGACTGATATATCAATAATTTCGCACAAATTATTAATCTTTATGTAATTTGGCGCTGATAACACATCAACACTGAAATTATTAAACTTTGTAAGAGTTTGATAATCAAGCTATTGTCACACTAATGTGCAATTGAATCAAATCCTGTACTTTTTCAGAAAAAGACCATTGAGTCAATCAACTCAAGATTGGCTTTGGTGATGAAATCGGGCAAATACTGCCTAGGATATAAGCAGACTTTGAAAACCCTGCGACAGGGGAAAGCCAAGCTGGTCATCATTGCTAAGAATGCTCCCCCACTAAGGTGAGACTGCTGAGAAGTAGAGTTTCCATTATTTCTATTTGTGGAAAGCATATGGAGTCTTCCGACAAAGAAGTATGGTTTCCGTAGAGTTGACTACAGTAAAATGTTGTAGTGCAAGTAAATTTAGCATTATTTCATTACAATGGCACTGAGTCTTGAAGTTTACTGTTAGTAACTTTGTCATTTTACTGAGTCAATCGAAATGGAAACCCTATGGAGTAGTCCTGGACCATGTGCTTATATTTGACAGGTGAGAAAAACATGATGTTATTATTGTCATTTGATTTTTAATGTGTCAATAATTGATGGAATATAAATAGAAATAAGTATTTACATTATATGCATATAATTTTAGCACTACTAAAATGTGTAGCTAGATTTTTAAGGTTATTGTAAACAATAATTCCATTAAGTTTCAATTACTCACTAATTTATCAATATTTTACAGGAAATCTGAAGTTGAGTACTATGCTCTTTTGGCAAAGACTGGAGTCCACCACTACAGCGGTAACAACATTGAGTTGGGAACAGCTTGTGGTAAATACTACAGGGTATGCACTCTGGCCATCACAGACCCTGGTGACTCGGACATCATTACCACATTGCCTGAAGCTACTGCTTAATTATAAGTAAAACTTTAAAAACAAATATCAGTTTTATTTATTCCTTATCCTGCGTTCAACAGACTTATGCGAAATTAAAAATGTCTTATATTTTCCATGTAGGTAAAGAACTTCAGATCAGACATTTACTTGAAACTTAAGTTTGAAAAAATCAGAATCTGGGTTAACAACATCTGTATAAATAACTTACTGAAAAAAGTTACGTACTTTGACATTCCTTTGAATCTATATTTATTCCATTGAATCTACAGAAGGTCATTTACATGGTGTTTCAGGGCATTCATGATTGAGTCCCAATATAGCCTATACTTGATCGGACCAGGAGACAGGTGATCCACTCTGTCACCTTTTACCCCTGAATCTTTCCAACCAAGACCAATCGTCAGGTTGTCTGGACAATAAGTATTCATATACTAGCAGTTGGTCTTTGAACTGCAGCCACATCACATCTCATTCCTGTGTCTGTGTCCATAGTTGCCAAACAATTTCTTAATGATCTTGTCACATAGATCCAACATTACCTTTTAGGTCAATCTATCTACAAGGCGTGGCATGATAGTAAAGTGTAAAGCCTGTTCCCCTCTTATGTGTTTCTCATTCTGAGGAGTTTTAGTTGGTATTGTGCTTGTTCTTTTTCTTAAATATCTACATTCCCTGGTTTAAGTGTTCCAGTCTCTGATTTCATGAATATGTATTCCAGAGACTTAGACTTTGCTGCATACCATGCAGGCAGTAGTGATGAAGCGAGTTCCTTTTGACGTTTAGACGCACTGGCGCCAGTTACATTATGCCAGCGCTATTTTTATTACTGTGCTGGCATAATGCAAACTAACGTAAAAATAGTAGCAATAATTTGATTTCTAAATAAGGAAAGAATTTAGGATATAACAATAAAAGATTGTGTTTTTACAATTTTTATTTATTTCAAACACTTATTAACTAACAATTATTACTGCTTTATTTTCCTTCAAATTGTTTTGCCGGCCACTTTTTCAATCCAGTGGGTTGTTACCTGGAACTTAAAGATAGTATAATTAGCATACTTCAATAAGAGGGTATGTTTGTATTTTTTATGTGTGTTATCACATAATTACAATTATTACATAAATTTATTGTAGAAATTGAAACGTACAAATTTGCATTTTCGACCATATGCCCAAATCAGATCATTACGTAGAACACATAATATAGAGATCGTAATATGTCATGTTGAAATATATATATATATATATATATATATATAATGAGAATTCAATGAAATTCTTGCATAAAGATGCAGCCTTGTTATCAAATATTCTCGAGTACTCTCTTACATATAAATCATTCTTCCCTTGGATGGGTTTTCTATATTTATGAAGAGACTTTGCCAATATTAGCTGTGGTAAATTAATATAGGTTTGTCATAATACCGTATTTTGAAATATCCAACCCATGCTAGTAGCTGCCACATTTGCGCTCATTAGTTCAAAGATTTATTGCATTATTCAGCAGAACAGAGAATGTACAAGTTTACGTGTCCGAACTTTTACTGTGGTCTAGTCTAGCACTCATACAAAAGTCTAAGTATTAGTTTAATAAATGATCCATACCTTTGAAGTGTGAAGTTTTCATGTTATCTTCATTCCATCCAGCATTTGCGGGAGTTGATACACAAATATGAGATTGCTGTTCAAGTTATGTCATCCATATCCTAAACATAAAAAAAACATTTTAGTAATAGCACAAGTAATATTACATAACAAAATAAACTACAAATATTTTGTAACATGTTAGTAAAATGTGAGAAATATGTATTTGTATATTATATAACTAATGTAGGTATTATGGACTTAAGCCAAATTTTTGTTTCATTAAAAAAAAGCAGAATAAAAAAAGTTGCATTCCTACTAAACTTTATTGTTACGTTTCTCTCGTCTTAACATATAATATTGTACCTGATACAAACAAATCACAAGAGGAATTGGCACTTTGGTCATAAATACTGCATATTAATGTTATAAAATTTTTAATCATAATATCTAAACAACTCGTGCATGAATGTTTAATTGCAATTTCTCTGTGGCATCAATATAAGTTAGACTTACATACTAGTTTGCATTATTAAAATGTAATTTTTATAGTATATAAAGTATTGAATAGCCATTACCTGTAATATTTTTACATTTTAATCTCCATATCTCGTACAAGATTTATGGTTTTCTCATTTTACTTCATTTCAAGTTTGCCTTATGTTGCATATTTGTAATGTTCTTCATTATATTACGCTCAATATAACTTTTAATTTCGGTCAACATTGTTCCCTTTCAGTGTTTTAATTTTAAAAATTTTATGGCAATTATTCAAGTGTACTATTTTACTAAAATACAATTATTTGAGCAAAGTGTTAGATGAAAAAGGAACAAATTTGACCATGCTTGTTGCAAATAAAGGCTTTTATCATTGTTACTTCTCTCGTCTAGAAAAATCTAAATCCTTTAGTTTCTGTGATTTAATATTTGGAAGCTAACAATGTTAATAATGATATTTTTCAAGCACTAATATGTATCGGACAAGTTTAAAAATGTTACTTTGCCACTCGTTTCAAAGTGTATTAAAATAATAAGCCCTCCTCACCTATAGCCTTATTTGATTCTTAAAATGAAACAGATTTGAATGTTTGCAATTGAACACAATAATTATCATATTATCCCTTAAACACGCGATGCGCTATTGTTCGACCACCAAAGAGCGAATTTAGTTTTTTGATGTTTGTTATGCTTTTCCAAACCAAGATTTAGTTTTAATAAACGAAAAGGGATTTTTTTTCAGTTTCTGGTTACGACACAATAACAGAATTTCTGATGAGAATACAAAATAGTGTAATAGAAGCATTTGAACGTTTGTACTTTGATTTGGAACAACATAAAGAATTTAAAACCATATAGTATATTAGTTGCTTTTCAAACTATTTTTCCCACAATTTCATATTTGTAAATATCATTTAATATGGCAGTAGCCATAAAAAAATTGACAACCTGACATTGAAGTTTTAGAAGTCCTGAATGTAACATCTTACTAAATGAAACCATCATGATTTTACCTTAATAACATGCTAGTAAGTATTGCTTAATCATCTATTTACTAACTTTTAAAACTATTTATTGTCTTTTTTCCTTTACCACATGTTTTTGACTCACAATAATGATAGAGCATTAAATGAATATTTCATCTACATGTAAATTATGTTAAAAAATCGTATAAGGAAATCAACAATTGGATATAATTTCTTGCCACTGTTTTTAGCAATATAGATTCACTTTTTTTGATTTTGCTCTGTTAATATTTTTATTAAGTACTAAACCTAAATTACTATATTTCTTTGCAACTCTACCAACTTTTCGTTTAACTGTGACCCTTTTGACATCTTAAAATATAAAACAGTCAGTTTTACAAAAATAAATCACACAAATGTTATCTTCCATAATTTTATTACGAAATGCGTCCTTACATCTAATTAGCATGGTATTTGCATACCATTTTACAAGAATGTCAAATAAAATACATAAAAGTAATCCTCTCCTAACATATTGGGTCACAAAATACATCAAAGTAGTTCTTTCCTCACACATTGGGTCACTGTATAAAGAAAACCAACATGTCTAACTTATTGAGATTGACATAATTATACAAAAAATGAGGAGTAACAAAAGCTTTCTTTAAAGTTTGCTTTATTTTTTAAAGTTTATTCACATTTTTACGAAAATTGAGAGAAATTATTATTAGAATTTGCATTATATTTATCTTACCTAATTCTTAATTATACATTTTATGAAAAACTACACATTTGAATCCAAAGCTTCAAATATTTGATGCAGCTACGATTTTTTTTGTGGCAAATAGACGCAAATACTTTCCATTATAGTCAAAGAGATCACCAACTGCCTGTAATGCAAACAATTAGATAGATGCTTAACATGATAGAGAAATTACAACTTTCTTTTAACCTAATTCAAATTCTGAAATGAAATTAATATTAACACATTTATAGCTAGGCTGATAGATAAGCTTTAAAGGTATTTGTAGCAAGTATTTCTATATTTCCCATTTTGTATGGTAACTTTTTTCTTGGATTGGGTATCGTGTGATCATCTTTGTTTAAACATCTCCATTGGTCTAATAAATTACTTGAATTTTAATGAACAAAACAGTACTACAGAGTAAACTGAATCTTAAAAATGTTTGCATCCCGACACACTTTTTTACTTTCTCATTAAATTAATTCTTAATATTTAAAGCTACTTTTATATTTATGAGGAACAAAATATATTTGAGAATCATATGCCCGTAATACTATTTAGCCTAATCTAAGCTTTAAAGCATGTTCTGACAGCATACTGGGCATAATAAATTAACGATACTTATAAAAAAATTTAAATTACAAAATGTGCAAAACATTGAACTTCTGGCTTTTGTGTGAAAGCTGCAATTATGCTGAATGAACAATTTAACCTATTATAGTAAATTGTAATATTTTTTATTATGATTTATGCTTTTTCTTAAAATCTACTTGATATACCTTTGGAATAACACCTAAATCTTATAATACTGGTTTATTTGTTCCACATATCGATTTATATTTCTATAATACATACTTAATATTTGGTCCTTCATTTCATTGTATCTTAATATTTTTGATCTATAAATATCTCATGTTTGTGTACATTCACTTTATATTTTGAATGTTTCGCGTGCAGTAACACATTCAGTGCCATTGCGATCGTTCGCTTAAAAATGAACTGTCGATGGCACTAAACATGTTATCTTTGAAAAAAATTACTTTCTTTGATCCTTCAAAATTTTACTACGTTTCTTATAAATGGAGATATTTCTTTCATTTAATCAGTTCATAATTGACTTATAATTGGTTAACATAAGATATATAACCTATGGATGAAGTGTTTCATAGAAGTTTGATGGCTAATAGAGTCAATTTTCGAAACGTAATTTTGTGTAGTAAATGAAAACACTGAGGAAATTTATCCTAACATAAGACCTCCGGATGCCTTTCTTGCTTCAATGTTGTGTTCCGGATTAGTAATCTACAGTTTATGTATCTATGACTTAAGAGTACAGTTGTGTTGTGTATGGTGTGTATTCAAAAGAATTGTTGTATTTACCATATGTGTTGGTGTACTGCTGCGGCTGCTGGTACGAGGAGTACGTGGGCTGCGAGTACGAGTCGTATGCGGGCGCGGCGCCGCCGTACGCGGGCTCCGCGGCACCGTACCCTGCGTCACCGGCACCACCTGCTGCGCCGGCGCTGTAATACAAATACACTTATATTAATCCTCTATTTAAAAAAAAATACAACTGACCCATGAGAAGAAAATCGTTACAGTAATTTTTAAGATATGTAATTTTTTATTGCATGAGTAGTTATGCTTTACTTGCACGATATTTTTTTTCCAGCTATATTAAAAAAAATAATTGACAATGCAATAACTAGTTGCAGGAATAAGGTGTGAGGTATACTAAAGAATTGCATAATTAGAGTAAATAAAACTATCCTACATGATTGTGCATATACAATGATGTATGTAAAATAAATAAAAAAATAAAATTTCAGCAAAACCATAAAAACACAACAGCATATCAGGTAATTATATGTACAAACCTGTATCCATTATTTTCGTAACCTTGTCCGCTAGTGGAATAACCATAGTTTGATCCATAATTACTGGAATAGGAGCTGGCAGGAGCAGGCGCCGGCACCGAATAGTTGCCGCCGCTTTGATACGAGCTGGAAACAAACCACGCTCAACAAACTGCTACACACATATTCAACTTGTGTATCTTTGATATAATTCAGAGTAACAAGTATCTGCATCTAAGTATCAGACGGCAATTCCTATCTTGTAAAGTTTCATCATTTAAAATATCCTAAATTATTTGTTTATTATCAAAATAATATGTTTTTACATGAAACTAACCCAATAAATGTTAATATAGAATTACAATCATCTCCAATCACTAACATTTTTTCAAAATGAATTATAGATTATTTATTACAATGTTACAACTTTTAAATTTGTTTTAGGTCAAGAGTGACAACAATTCAATCTAATACTAAATCTAATTTCAAGCAAAAGTAACCTTTAATAAAAACATTAATGAAACAATGGGTTTATACTCAGATCAAAACTTAAATTATGACCATGCAAAAAGCTTCTACTACACATCTTTAGCACTACAGTAAGGTAAATTGAAGTAGTAAAAGTAAAAATTATAATAACCTTGATGCATTGTATGATGGCGGTGGGAACGGCTCTGCAGGAGGCTGTTCATATTGTTGATAACCTGTGTGCCTGTTGAATAAAACTATTCTCTGTAAACTCAAAAAAACTATAACCATATTCTAGAGAATAAGATAATTTTATCAGATTTAAAGTTGACGTCATATATGTATCAGACGGCACATTCCTATCAAGATTGTGGATCATCATTGAAATAATATGATTTTAATTCCTATTATTATTACTTGAACATACTTAAAATACACAGAAAGGATATTTAGCTATACTTATTTAATGTTAATGTAGTATGTGAGAAGCACTTACACTGGGGGTCCATAGCCATTGGCCTGTTGCGGGTTGTGTGCTGGTGGTACTGAGTAGGCGCCAGGCGGCGGCTGCCTCACTCCACCACCACGTGGTCCGTCAAACCTGACACAAATCCAATTATACATTTGGTGTTTATTAATTTTTATAACACATTACATTATAAAGAAGTATTTCATGCACTTGAATTCATCTTAAAATAAATTGCAACACATACATCCATCTTACTAATACTATAAATGAAAATAGTTAGATAGTAGAATTGTTTGAAGGTATCTCCAAAATGGCTGAATGGATCAAGCTGAAATTTGGCATAGACGTAGGACATAGTCTGGAAGAACATACATACAGCTTATTAGTTTTTTTTAATTCTGCGAAGACTGAGTTGCAGGCAATAACTAGTAGTACTATAAAATCAACTAATAAAGTTACTACATGCTAAATTCCAGAAACCTTTGCTTTTTCTAGAATGTTTTTTAGGATTAGTAGTAAACGAAATTAAATAATTTTAATTCTCTATACACACCTCCCTCTTTTGGGTGGCCCACCTCCGCCATGTGGAGGCCCTCCACCACGTTTGAACGGTGGTCCCTGTGACTGGTTTGGTGGTGCATTTGATTGATGCAATGGAGGCACTCCCCTTGGTAGGATGTTAGGAAGGCCGCTTTGGATTGGTGCTGGTGGTCCATGTGGTCCTGGATGTGGAAGAGGACCACCTATTGGTGGACCATTTAAAGGTGGTGCGCCTGGACCTCCTCTGCCACCTCTACCTAGTTTAAAAATGTCTTATGTAGTCTGTTAACATTCTGCTATTTTAACCAACATGTTAAATTTGTATAGTAAATGCTTCTTCGGTGTTAATAATTATTCAAACAACAAGCTCCAAAAGGAACTAAAATAAAGAATACTGAACATGAGTCCAAGAATCAAGTCATTATTTTACCTCTCATAGGCATTCCTCTTCCTCCTCTATCATTTCGTGGTCCAAAATCACCACGACCTCGACCGCCTCGACCTCTCATACCACCCAGGCCTCCTCTATTATTGAAACCTCCTCCTGAAAAGAAACATGCCTTAAATCTATGGATATGATCAATCAACAGCCAAATATGTTAAAGAAAATATTTCTTACTTTGTGGTGGACCAACTCTAGTTTCTATCGTAGGTACTGGATGTGGACCAGGGCCTTGAGGTCCAGGTGGGAAACGACCACCTCTTTCGCCGCGCATGGGTCCTCTAAACCCTCGCGGTGCTCCACGTGGTCCAAGAGCTCCTCGTGGTGGGCCACCGCGGCCTCGCATACCGGGAACACCACTAATATAACAACAAATGATGTTATCTGATGTCTGATAGTGTCATCATAGTGATATAACCTATTCAAGTTTGAATGAACATTGAGAAAGGAACAAAGCTAAAGTAAGTGAATCTTTTAGCTACATTTCAAATAAAGAGATTTCTTACCGTCCACGCATATCAAATCCGCCTCGGCCTCTGAGACCGGGTGGGCCGCCGCGACCACCACCTCGGAATCCACCTCGTGGCCCATCCATTTCCATACGGTTTAGTTTTTTCTTCAATTTATAGTGATTCCGGAGGAATATACACGTGTTCAGTGAACTTTATCAAATTTCTTTAGAAGATTGAATTAAATTTGAGACTACTTTAGACCAAAATGGCGCCTATTTGCCTATTGCTCTGTGCAACTTCGCACGCGGAGCCGGAACCATAATGACAAAACATGGCGACGGCGTGGGATAGTGATGCCATCGTGTTTCTTTTTCACTAAAAACCATAAATGTAATGAGTCGTTCAAATTAATCAGCATTAGCTCAACCAAAGAGCTCAACTATAAAAAAATCATGTCCTTGGGCGCTGCAATCAGGATCTTTACCACATCACTATTTGATGTGCGAAAATAACAAATGGAAATAAGGTAGTGCCATATTTTTCGCAAAATACCAAGATTTTATATTTCCGTTCCAGCGATAAAAAAACATCATGAAGATAACTGTGTAGTGTTATTTTCTTATGATGTCCCAACACTGACTGTCACCTGTCACTAATACAAACGTCAAATCAAAATAAATTGCAAATTGTTGTGTAGTGTTGTCCTGCTCCTGTAATCAAACTGCGCTGCGTCAAATCAAACTAATCAACAGAAACAAAGAGTATAATAAGTATACTATAGAAACATAAAGCTAAAGATCAATACTGAGAACACAAATACAGTGTACAAGAGAGAAAAGAATATTTACGATTCCACTAAAGAACTGCAATGGACAACCAAGATAACACCTTAAAGTATCTTATTTCAGTAGAAAAATTAGCTCAAGAAATTTTATCTGATAAACAAGAGATTATTTTATTAGATAAAAGAAGAAATGAGAATCGGGAGGCACTGCGAAATTTAACAAAATCTTCGGAATCAAAATGTTGGCTTACTGTGGGTTCAGTAGTTATCAAGCACGATATTGCTACAGCCAAGTCTCTTTTAGAAGCTGACCAAAAGCAGTTGAATATTGATATAAATCAACTAAGATCAGAGCTAAAGGTTAAGGTCAACAATCTAAGAGATCTTGAAATGCAACCACCTGTCCCTGGTTTAATGTTAGTTCCCTTGACACATATGGAAAATGAAGGCTTAACAAATGCAGGTCTGTTCAATTAAATAAATCAATTTATATTATTTCTCCTGATGAAAGGTAAAGAAATGATGCTGAGAAAAGTTAAAATAAGGGTTATTAGAATTAGGAGCTACATAATGAACTACTTTGTTTTTATTTACACGAATATTGCTTGGTCCATATACAAATAAAAAAACCATACATTGTCATTTTATAACTTATATTGTATTGGGTATATAATTAATCAGTTATATGTAAGTAGAAATAAAAGAATTACTTTTCATTATTTCTTTTATTGGGCTAAGGTATTTTCAAATAAAAAGTCATCAAATATATAATTTTCAATATGCACAGTTACATCTTTATACATGTAAATAATATAGTACATAACAAATAAATAATAAATAGTACCAAATTTTAGGATTCATCCATTCATAAAAAATTATTGCAGTATTGGTGTAAGAATTATGATACACAGTGACTTGACTAAGTGCCGATTTGTGAAGAAAAACATTCCCATAGCAAGTAGAACAATTTACAGCTTCTAAATTGTAATCTATTGATTGGAAAGTAAATAATTACTTTGTTAGCCATGGCTGAAATCTTTGTTAAAATTTCTTATTAAACATATAATTAAAACCAATTACTTAAATCATCACCCAACTAACTTAAACAGTAAACAATATGGCATAATATGTATCGATAGATTGATTTGAATTACATTTTTCCTTTAGAAATAAACAACTGCAAAATAAAAACTAAGCAGTATTAACTTACTTACGAATAATTGTCAATATCAAAACATTTATCCTATAGGTTATTGCTTAATAATATATATTCAGTAGCTTGTGTATTGAAATTACATTATTCAGTACAAAATGCCACATATGATAATGTCCTCAAATGTCAGTTGTAATTTTGTGGATTGTCTTTTGAGCACATATAAATCTGTCATTATCACAAGTCTTTGAAATGAGAATGGCCAAAGCGCATGTGTTTTGTTGTGCTGACTGGGCGGTGGCGCGCTCAGTCAGGCCTGTGGTACATCACAGAGTGTGGCGGCTGACGCTTTGCAACATATCCTCTACCAGTTGGCCATTCCCGGCTTGTTCAGCGTCATGAAATATATCTGACAGGAAGAACCGCCTTTAGCGGAAGAGAAGAAAACCTTGTCATTGCGTTCGCAAAGAAATTTAAGTCGTTGTGCTTTTTTGTGCATAAACACGCCGTCCAGGTGTCCACTTTCGACGGAGCGGATCTCTATCGCTTTATTGCCCCAACCCATTATTTGGCCTGTACCGATGTACGCCACTGAAGTTGGCATTTCACCCCACTGAAATTAATAATATGCCATTAATGATAATCGAAAAAAAAAAATAAAACGTTAATTTAGTTACGAAATAAAAAAAATCACCAATTCTTACCTGCAAAACTATATTTTTGCTAATTCGTCCATTAGTGTTAACATACACTCCTTCATTATCATAGCAAAGTAATAATTGCACGCCATTGGAATTCGGAAGTGGTACAATGCAATGCGGAATTATAGCTCCCTGTGTCTGGAAAAAAAGCAAACAAATGACATCTCAATGAACAACATATTTTTATACAAATATTGAATAATAAAACTAATTTTAAACAATGAATTTGCATCATCTGTAATACAAAAATACTTACATGCTTAGGGATATAAATATCGTAAACACTGGCAGTGTCAAGATCAACGGCGTGGAAGCCATCCGCCGAGCCGTAGATCACTTTCAGTCTTGTGCCTTCCTCAATTGTCAGATCAACTAGCAAAGGTCTAAAACAAATAAATTACATCAATAACATCCTAGTCCAATTTCATTTTGATACATATTTATGATAGTGATTTAAACATTACCTGTGTTGCAAGTCACCAAAACTTTTAAATGCCATAAACTTGTGATACGGTTTTGGTGCCCATGCGTAAATCTCAATGGAATCCTTGAGAGCGATCACCAAGAACTTGATCCGTTCATATTTCACGATCCTAAAATGTACTGCGCCTTGCAGCTCTCCGACATTGATCCAGCCGTTTCTCCTCTCAACTTGCTGCAAGATAAATAAAACATTTATAAAATATAGAGATTAGTTAAATAAATAATTCATATAAAGTATGCCTTACATCGCTGAGACCGTCCGTACGCAAGATTTTAGACTTAAGCCAACTAAGATAGTACACTCGTACTCTATTCTTCTTTCCAGATACAGTCACAAGAATGTTTTGTCCCTCTAACACTTCCATCTGTTGGAAGCGGCGTCGTGAGATGAGTTGATACACTTTTCCTTGACCGGACCGATCAAGTAACATTAGTCCATTTTCAGTTCCAATAAGCAAATTCACTCCTAAAAACAAAGTGTACAATATATCAAACAGTTTTTAAATTACTAAATAAGTAATATGTATTGTAATATTAACCCCAGAGTGCGGCGCAGAGTATTTCCGAGTTGAAGCGCTTCTTGTACTTGCGTATCTCGGGCGTGTCGGAGGACAGGTCGTGTCCGGTGGGCGTGACGTTGACGTTGACGTGGCTCTCGCGGCGCGACGCGTTGCCCGAGCCGCCGGTGCCGCTGCCAGTCGAGCCGGCGCCGAAGCCGAACGTCAGGAACGAACGCTGCTTCTGTTGCAACGGAAGGAATTGCTGCTGCGACCCCACCGATGAGTTAGAGGGGGAATGCTGCAGCGGGTGGGGGTGCGGGGAGGCCCCCGCCACGAAGGACTTGGAGGGCGTGGACTGCACCGAGGAGGGAAGGGGATGGTGGTGGTGGTGGGGGGCGGGCGTGCCGCCGGCAATCGCCTGTCTGTACTGTAACAGAAAACACTCCAGTCAATTATATTGCACAAAGGAGAAGAACTTTTTTTTTAGACAAATATTGATTTACAGATATTGAATATTCAAGTCCTTTACATGGTGATGTGTTAGTCAATTCCATCTCCCAGTTAGTCGTCATTTCAACTATGTTCGGAAAGTTATTAATGGCTTTTATTATCTACAATTTACCGATGGCATAATTTTTGAATAGTGGATTTTAGTAGGCAATGACGCATAACCAATCTCAACTTTCATAACATTTTAGAGAATATTTCACTTTTAAACTACCAATTATCGATGCACAAAATACTGTATTTAATTTCATATTAAAATTAATTATGACAAATGTACTTATCTTATTTACTTATACTGCAAAAATACAAAATGTTCCGAAAAAATAATTGTTATTACTAAAGTTATCATAAAGAACAAGACTCAATTTACAAAATGGTTTTATAATACATGTATACTAAAATTAACTAAAACCACATAAATTAAAAAAAATACAAGTACAAAAATTTACCACACATATCTATGAATCATTTGAATTTAATATTTTACTACTCTATAATAAAAGGTTAAATAATTGATCATTTTTTTAACAAAATGCCATTAACATAATTTTGTATTAGCACTGAAAGCACATGATTTACATGAAAGGTAAATATGTTGTGATACAATAACATTACAGATGGTATATAATAGAAGCGTATATTCTATGTAATGCACAAGAAAGGTAAAGAGTATGCTATCGTAACAAACAACAGCCTATTGTAACGTATATAAAAGCGTTTTCTTCTTGCATCAATTCGTTTCGTACTTACGCAGTGGTAACAGCTGTCTGCAAACAGGTCGCCGGGGGCTCCAGGGAGTTTGCATGATCGACAACCATTATCACATTAATACTATATACTAATAGCTCCACATGAATATTGTGATCTAAACGGGGTCACCAACAAACCTTTTTACCAATTCTAATTATATTTTTTAACACTATTAACAATGGTTTTATGTTTCTTTTCAACCAATATGTAAATATGTAATAAAAAATATTAACACAAAATTACTAAACTCCACAAATTTTATGTTGATAGAATTTAAATTAGTATATTGGATGTTTAATGAAAAATAAAATGATGTTGGTAGCCCCATTATTATGTTAAATAATGATATAACATTGTAAGTAACAAATGGAATCTAGCTCGAATTTATCTCTTTATTAAGCTATATGGTGAATATAATACTTTGATATATACTTATAAATATTTTTAAAATAAATATATTTTAATTTGAACACATGGTGTATTTTCAAAATGTGTCTAGCGTAGCTATTAGGCAGCGTAAAATTGAGAACTCATGTTGTCTAGCGTATTATTGATTACCAATGTTGGATATTATAGTTAGAGCTAGATATGAAGATAGACGTACCTCTTCGCTGGTGGATTTGTCATGGCGAGGCGGGGTAGTGGGCTGTCCGGCTTGACTGAGCAAATCCGGAAGAACGGAACTAGTTCGGGAACCACTACCTTCGTTAGCACCACTCGAACGGCCCTGCAATGTCATACTAGCTAGAGGATATCCACCGATATCTTTTCCAGTTAAAAATTCCATTATGATTTGAATTAATTCTTAATAAGTGTAAAATTGCGCAAATACAATGTGTGAAAAGCATGTATTTGTTCACACATTCTTTTTAATTTAGCAAATAATATTGTGTGTGTCATTGAAAAAAATAGTACATCATACTTTTAATCTATGGGAAAATTTTAACTTTTCAACAAATGTAAATGTGATAAGAGTTCATGGATATACAAGATGATACTAACCACACCAGAAAAGAGACATTTTAACGATGCATTTGGAAAGAAATGACGTCACTTAGTTTGTTTCACAAAAATGTGAATAAATGAACGAATTGAATACGCAAAGACGCTAAATACTTTGCATAAATAAACCTCAAACTTAATTACCTATTTAAAACTAATACAATGGCAACTTGAGAATTCTATTTTACTAATTTTGGTAGCAATTATTAAGAGTTCAAAAAATTTATAGCATAAATAAGTAGACTAAACCTTATTGCGTATATTTTAATGTAATATAACGGACCAAAATACTAAATAGTATTCAAATGAAATAAATTATAGATATTATCAAGATTACAGACTATTAAACATTGTAAATTATTACTAAAAATAATGTATTCAATATAATCAAGATTGAAAAAACTAAAATACCATATTACCTATACGATTTTATATTTATGAGACATAATAACATAAAAGACATCCACAACAAATTTATTCTTTTACAATATATTTTAGCATAATAATGAAAGACCGCACGCCATCAATATTTAATTTTTAAACATGTTCAAAATTGAGGGCGCGATGTCTTATAGTGTTAACCAGTTTACTAGCACATATTACAATGGTGCGCTGTGAGCGAGCGACAGACGGCGACATACACAAACACGGCATAGCCAACGCATGCAGTTTGAAAACAACACATTCACAAAAACGAACAATTTTATATTCTTTTATTTTTCAGCTTCTGCGTGATATCGTTAGGCGTTCATTCCCAAATAGTTGTTAAATATCCTAAGATTTTTAATGGCATAGTATTGTCCTAACACTTTCACTCAGCGTTTCTCCAATTCCTGGCAGGAAGACGGTAGTCGCGCACAGATTAAAAATCGATATAGAATTAGTCGAATTAGTAGTTGCTGTCAAATGTTAGTATTAGATGTTGATGAAGCGCGGGTTAATTTTAGTGAACATATGAATACATAAATATACCCAATGTAATGCATCGTTTTGCTTTAAATACCCGTAATCTAGCTCAGAAATACTAGAAGATCTACTTTTGACGAACTACTTCTAGATATATTAAAAAATATAGGAAATAAAAACATGTCACGCCAAAACGTAAGACGTGTGAGCAATAACTATGTACCCTCGATATCGATCACTCGTTATTGAGGATACTACTAATAAATACTTATAAAATCCATAATAATTAGTTGTATCCATTCCCACGCATAAATAAAACCGCCACACCAATAGCTACATAAAAAACTCAGAACAGGTCGTCATAAACAGTCATAGCATTACAGGTGGTTAGTTTAAACTATGTTAGACAACTCGTACCCAACCAGGATTAAGTATATAGATATATTAATCAAACTATCCCGAGCAGTGAGCAATTTACCTGATCCTGCGCGAGTACCGCTTCCTGCCCACAGTTTGATACGTCAGTTTGCCGGTTATAGTGGCAGTTCCTTCTGAACACAATGTCCGATTCCGTCTTTTCCCTTCGAGGTTTCACAACATTGTTCGAGTCCTTGCCCAGTGATTTGTTTTCAAATGTGTCGGCTGTGAGATCAAGCGTGCCTTTCTCGAAGGACGTGCTGCTACTGAAGCAGATACTAGTCGCCGGTGAGTCGCTGTTCACGCTGCTCTGGCGGCTAGTTCCGTTATTCTCGCTGTCCTGTCTGATAAGGACGGCTACATTTTTCAACGCCTCAATTGGATTATTAGCGGATGTTTTTCGATTTGTTATCTTTTTGGACTCCACTTGGGAAGATTTCCTTAAACTATCGTTCATTTTTATGAAGTCTGTCAGTATCGGCTCGCCCGAGGAAGCCGGTTTCGTGATTTGCTTTCGCGAGTGATTGAATATTCCGCTGGAGCGCTGCTTGTTCACTCCTGCTGGGCTTTCGTGCTTTGGAAAGTATATAGCGGAGTGGCGAGTGCTCGGTAGAGGAAATAGATCGGAGTTCTCCCTTCTAAACCCTCTGAAGAATCTGTTCGTAGAGTTCAGCTCCGACTCTTGTTCCTTTTTATACTTAAGCATGTCCACGAGTTTCTCTTGGGGCGTTTTCTCTATGGGCTTATGGAACATTTGCTTGTGCCGTGACGGCGGAGTCGCTATAGCTTTGTACTTCACCCAGGCGTCCTCGGATTCGATTCTGGATTGGCGTTGCAGTTGGGCACGCTTCTGCTCACTTTCCTTAGTCGGATCCTTTTTCTCATCCTTGTCTGAGGCTTTGGAAGGGAAAAATCTAGCAAAGTCCCAGTCCTTTAGTAGAACCGCTTCGTCGACGTCGGATTGCCTTTTATCGGTTTCAGCAATCTCCTTCTGTCGTTTTTTAAAATAAAAACCGATGCAAAAAATAGAAATAAATAATAGGAAATAATAAACATCGAACTGAGTTATATGTTGATTTTGCTCACTAATCTTACTTTGGCGTGAGATAATGGGAAATTTTGTTATGTATTTTATCATAATCATAAATTTGTTCCCACAGTATCTTTGCATTATTTGAAGTACAGAAATAGGATAAAGCTATGCAAATGTTGTCACAACAGAAACAAAGACATTTAGTAGCTGCAGTAATGTTGCCCTTATCTCATATATTTTGTTGCTTGTAGAGAATCTCCGTACTTAGTTCCTTTAGTCAATATTAAGGTTATCTACAGTAAATTGTAAAACGCACATTTAGTTCATTCGAAATCAAAATAATATCTAGACAAATTTTAACTTATCAAATACAACAACATAAACTCCAGATAGGTATGATTAATTTATTAGCCTTTGTTTCAGATGTGACTTTATGGCATAGTACTATGAGCTCGAGACATGAAAACACAAACAGGCTCAAATCAACATTGTATCGCAAACTGCTTGGTTTACCCAAATAATACAAATCGTTACGTTATCTATTTTATATTAGTACACAATCAATTTAATTATAATCAGTTATAGTCTTCGAAAGATTGGGTTCCTGGAGTTAACACCATCCAGACAATATAAGAAATAAACACTAAATTTTTCTTAATAAGTGTGATAATTCCGCCATTAATTGACATTACGGATTGTCTATGAGTTGGATTAAATATTAAAATAATACAGTATAGATGTATTGTTCGGTTTTTGAAGGGTATTGCCAGAGTGGAACAGTTTGCGGTACAAATGTAAGCATCAGTGTGTGCTGTTTGAGACTTACCCGCTTCATGACGAGCGTGCGGTCAGGGTGGGCGTCGTCGTCGTCGGGCGTGGGCGGCAGAGGGCGCGTGGGCGCACCGCCCGACGCCGCGCCATCCTCCGACACCGCCGCCAGACCCGGCCTGTAGCAGAACTCCGGGCTGACAAGCCAAACCAAAACCGAAACCAGGACGTGGAAGGGGAGGGACAAATAAATCGTATGGTGTGGTGATAAACACAAAATAATTTGCAACATAAAAGAAAAGAATGAAATGATTACATTAGTAAAATTTTGATATGATTTGTTAAGATAAGGATAATTATTTTTTACAATTTAAACTACAAATCTTTCATAATGATCAAAATCGATTAACCAAAACACAATGGCATAAAAGTACTATTTCTACATAACCCTGAATGAGCTTACCAAGCGACTTTTTTTGAAATGAAAATGATTAATGGTTAATCATAATAAACTAGTCCACTAAAACAACAAGTACAAAATTATAAATGCAACACCAATGAATATATGACGAACATAATAATAGAACAGTAAACAGTATTGAGTGACAATGTGTGGTAGACTCACAGTGGCTTTGGTGGATCGCTGGCCAGCAGGGTGCCGTCATTGCGCACTCGACCTCCGCTCTCTTCGGCATCGGAATCACTGTCCGAGTCATCGAATGGAGGCTCCGCAGCATTCCTCTCTATTGGTGGCCCTGGAATATTACAAATATTTTTTTCTAGCTATATGTTCCCAGAATCATAGTGATTAACAATATTATAACGGTAATTAAATTATTATCTACCCTGTCCATTGGTAGGCGCTCGAGGCGGTCGGTTCGGCGGTTCGTTGCCGGACACCACGCCGAGCTCGTTCAGTTCCGCCGCTAGCTTGTCCAAGTCCTGTCAATACGACAATATTGCAATAAAAGAAAAATGTAAGTGGCCAGTGATAAATTAAAATAAAAAACGAACTACAAACCTCTGGTCTCCTCAGTGGACGCTGCACCAGTTTATATTGCATGTGCAAAGAAAGTTAACAGCGTGACATGGAAATAAGAAAAAAAATAAACCAAAACATGAAAAAAAAAATAAACCAAAATGCATTTAAAGAAAGGAACATAACAAAAAGGTTTTGTGTTAGAATTGATATAAAAACTTTTTTAAAGTAAAACTTTATCCATATTCAGAATATAAATAATGACACATACATATATCACTGGATTAAAAGGAAGTTACCAATTTTGCGATGACAAAAATACATTGAGAATATGAAAACAAGCTCATATTATATTTTCATTAACAGAAGTTATTCAGTTTTATCACAAAAGACATAACATTTTATAGACATAATAAAAGTAATTAAACAAAAGAAGAAACTGTTTTTAAGATTTATTTTAAAACAGATTAAGACAAAGGATTTCATCTGATCATAAATATTACATGAGTAATAATTATACTATAGAATTGACTGCTTTACAAAATCCATTCTGGACACAAAAAAAGAAATGAAAGAAAACTGCAAAAGATATCTAAGTTAAAAGTACAAAATACAACTATTAAAGGTTATTATACCATTATTATACCAAGCAATTAAAGTACAATACGTATTAAGTAAGATGTGCGTGAACCCGCGCCATAATGTGATGTAATAAGGAAATATCCGTGTAAAAACCGATATTTCTATTATTATAAATCTGAATCTCCAAGTTCAAAAAAATAAAATATTTGTTGAAATTTGTATAAAGGTCATTGATTCGCACATAATTATTTAAAACGCGTAGCAGAAAATGATTCTTTTCAAAATCAGATCATAAATATTAACTGTAGCCTTTATAAGGCAGCCATTAACAAATGTATACAAAGGGAAACAAAATATTATCAAATAAAATACATACTATAATGTTTGAATTCACATACCATAGGTTTGAACATGTGATGTGAGCCGCGCTGCGGGGGCTGAGGGCCGCTGGCGGGCGGCGTGCCGTTGTTGGAGCCCGAGCTGTTAGATGAGCCTGAAGACTTGGGAGTGGGAGGCAGAGGCCTGTATCAGATTGTCCTTATTAGTTTACCAGAAAAGCACAAATAAATAGCTATTTAACACATTCCATGTCATTATTTCGTATTAAAGTTTTACATTCGTTATACCTATTAAAATTATAGTTAAAGCATATTTAAAATATCACCAAATATAGTCAAAGATGCAGTTAAAATAATACTGACCTATATTTATTAAGCTGCTGTGCCTGTGGGTCCGGCACAACAATCAGTCTTTGTGGAATGGATGGCCTTGCTGGCGGCCCAGGCTCTGTCACATCAAGATGAATTAATATCATAAAACTAGTTTACACAATAGTAGAATTAGCTATCAGTACATTAATACCTGGAATTTCCTCGCGTTCTTCACGCTTACTATTACGTTTAGGGGGTGGCTGTGGCTGAGCATCGGGTCCCGAACTAAAAGCAAACATAAAAATACAATAAAATAAAATCAATGTAACTAACAAAGATAGTTTCTTATACCATGAACACATTATTTAAACTGGTGTAATAGTTATTACAATTTATGAATTATACTTTTAACGGACTAGCCCAAAAAAAAAAGGAATTAGAAGTTACAACCAAAATAAGATTTCTAGTCCACTATGTGTGTTACTACTAACCTTCCTTCTTGAATCTGTTGGAAGTTTCGTCGTAAAGTATCACTGGTCTGGTGAGCTGCAGCATTATGAACAATGGATGATGGCTCTCCTGCCACCGCATTGTCCTCTTCCTCACCCTCTGATCCGGAATATTTGTACTCTTCCCTCACTGAGCTGTCCTGCTTTCTCTTTTTACACCTATCTATATGATCCTTGAGCTGTATTCTCACCTGCCTCTCTGTTGGTTGATCCCTGAAAAATTAATTGACTTTTTAATATCATATTTTATATATTGAAGGCAAAAAACATTTAAATGGGAAAAGAACAATTGCTGTGACAGAAAGTGTCATTAATAAGATGTAACAGTGATGTATTTTACTAACCTTATGAAGGAATGCTTCAGAAGTTGTTCAGTGTAGGGTCGTTGATGATAATCTTTTACCAGAACAGTTTCAATGAAACTGTGGAACTTCTTAGCCCACTTCTTAGATTTTAATCGCGGTGGTGGATTCCTAGACAATGCAATTAAATTAATAAAGTTCATAACAAAAAGACATCAAATAATTCACTTCTTACAGTGAATTTCAACTGTAGTATGACATGTATAAATGTCTCATTTAAATAAAGATAAAGATGGCAACATTCTTGTGATTTAATTGTTAAGACAGTGGAAATTCACCTTTATATACTCAAAACTACTAGTGTAAGATATACCTCGGAATAAGGAAAAGTGCTCGCATAGGATGAAGGTCACAGAGAGGTGGTTGACTTTCAGCCATCTCGAGTGCAGTGATACCAAGAGACCAGAGGTCAGAGCGATTGTCATACGTTGCGTCAGGGTTCTCATCGCATGCAATAACTTCTGGCGCCATCCAATACGGAGTTCCAATGAATGTGTTCCTCCTACCGATAGTTCTGTCTAGTTGTGCTGACACACCGAAGTCCACTAAAGAGAAGATAAAGCACATATTAAAAGTGCTAAATCGAACATAAGCATAATTTTAATAATTATTTTTAAACATACCGAGTTTCACTTCAGCATTATCAGTGAGTAAGACATTCTGTCCTTTAATATCTCTGTGGATCACTTTGTTTGAGTGCAAATAGCTCAAACCTCTCAAAATTTCCCTGCAGATGTATGAGATCCATTCTTCTTTAAGTGATTGCCCCTTAGTCGATTTAACTAAATCAGTCACAGAACCTAAAATAATAATTTTTAAATCAAAATCATGTTATAGTGAATAAACAAAAACTCTTTTCTAAATATGTATGTAAACATTTCGTTTGTGTGTAACACTTAAACTGAATTTCTTAAAAAATTAAAAATACTAATTACAAAGTAATTACATATTCTAACACAACAATGCTCTACCAAAATTAACAATACCAATCCACATTTGTATGTTTGAACAATACTTTCCCAGACTGGTTTTTTTAACAAATAACATTACTGTAAATGAGAAATGTAAAGATTTTTAATTCAATTTCAACAGAAGAAATTACATTTAAAATTAAACTTATATGGCATCGCTTTTGATGTTGAAACAACACAATCATATCCTTATTGTTGTTACTTTGTTGTCTATACTATATGTCTAGCATTTTGTGGCATTTATTGTGGAATTATATAAAACTTGTAATAAAACATATTTTTCAGAGATCTTTCTGTTTCTACCTCTTTTTTTTAACAGAAAAAAAAGATATTGTCATCCTCTGTTTTACAGTGTTTTAACAGTGGAAACCCACTTGTATTAATCAAGTTTGATATAATTGGTCTAATACACACCAGCACCACAATATTCCATAACCAACCACAGCTGGTCATCTTTTCCTGAAGGTGTTTTCTTAATAAATGCTCCATAATATGTGGCAATGTTACGGTGGTTAGAGTATTTTTTTAATACATTGATCTCAAGCTTTATCTCTTCTTCTTCATCTTGTGTGACATCCATTACCTTGATGGCAGCAAGTTGACCTGTCTTTGTGTGGCGGCCCTAAAATAAATATTTATTATGCTATGTAATAATGTTATGACACTATACTATAATTCATAACTATTTTTTTTATTAAGGCCAAGTATTATCATTCAATTCATTATTATTATTTCAAATTGATGAGATTTTACAATTGCTTTTTTATTGTGATAACCTTAGTACTATGGATTTAATGTAAAAAACAAAAAGAAATAGGTCACTTTCCTTTTATAACACACTTAATAGACATTAATTCCCTTCGTTAACATTAATAGTCAGTCTTAAATTGTACAGCTCATAAGGTCAACCAATTATGACTAAAGTTGAAAATGATAATGGATAGGAAATTCAGTCAGATATTTTCTTGTAATAATTTTGATTTTTTTCCATTTGATTGTTCGAAGAATATATACTGAATTGATCTTAAAGTTATGATATATGTATGTTCATACATACCTTGTACACTTGGCCATAGGTGCCATTTCCCACAACTTCAATAAGCTCAAATATACCAGCTGGATCCTGAAATTAAACACGAAGGAAGTAGACACAGAAAAAGAATCAAGAGCTAATTATAATCCTCAATAGTGAACCTTCAATATGATTCACGCCCTGTGAGATCATTGCCCTTTGTAAGGACTTTTCGGCGAGAGTCTGGCTGCCGACCAAATTATTTATTTGATCTATTTAATCTACTTAAATTAAAATAATTACCTTTAATGCACCGAGGTCAATGTCGTCTAGTGAACAATTTACAGACGGTGCTAGTTGATGCGCCATTTTGAGTATATTGTCACACACGAAGACAAAGCACGAGAACCTCACATCAATATAAAAAGTGTATAAAAACTCCTAAATTATGACATTGGAGTAGAGTTTAATATTATTTAGCTATTGAACAATTAAATAATTTATAAAACACATTGTTTACTATTAAAATTACAGTAAATTACAGATACACAATCTATGTGCCGCACACACACCCGGCGGGGATACCACTAAAGAAATCAGACTACTACCATTGTAGGAGATTAACAAATGATGAAGTTATAAATGGCAACATTGGAGTACCAAATTTTATCTTACTGTAGCTTTTAATTTCATTTTTACCTTTTTTTAAATTACCTTTGTTGACCATAAAATAAAACAGGTATAGGTATTTATTTAAAACTTAAAAATAATATGCAAATGATAATCATACGGCTGTAGACTGTTCATTATATCAAATATCAAAAACTATTATTTATTATTTCTCTTGGCTTTTGTTGTATCAAAAAATATATTTCAATTAAACCAGGAACCACATAATCAGTAAATCACTATTTTATTACAGAAACAATTTCCTATTTCAGTACTTTAAATTACGCATCATGTTACATATTTCTTTAAGACTTAGGACTTTTCTGTAGGCAGCCTTTGTAAAGTCGATCCCAAGTCCACCCTATATTGAACGTTTAAAATCAGATTATTTCAAACACATTCATGTCTATTGTAATTTATTTATTACAAGTTCAAGATGGTTGTTAGGTTTCGAATTCTTTTTTAAGCTTTTGATAATGTTTTGTGATTGTGGTGTGGTGGATGAAATTGTTTTATTTCTGGGTAAAATCTTATCGATAAATGTATAATAAGGCTGTCCAATTAAAAATTAAAAAGGTGATTTTATACATATTATTTTTTTCTTTTAAAGAAAACACATTCTAAAGGGAATAATTATATTGTAGTAAAATATGCTTGCCGTTATATTTTACGAAGGTTTTTAGTTCATGTGTGGCGTTGTAGACGAAGGACTAAATTTAACTTACTAGTTTAAGCGCAGGAGCGGTGTTCTCGGTTCAATTTGTGGACGAATTTAAATGACATTCGTATTATGTAAGCTGCAATCTTATTAACTGTAGAACTTAACTTAACGCTAAAGTTTTTCAAAGTTTTAATTTCCTGGTATCGTGTAACACTGAAATTCACCGCACGGAATAATTCAACTACAAACCTATAACAATAGTAGGATTAAAAACATAGGTAGTTAATACTTCGAAGGCAGGAGGAATTGGTTTTGGTTTTAATGTCTCTGCCTATTTTTATAGAAAAGTCCCAAATAATTATTCTTCTGTTGTTATATTGACGCTATATGGTCGAATTATTTATAATATTAAAAGAAGTTTGTTTTTAAACAATGATAACATACACAAGCACCAACTGGTGCCCTCGTATCTGGCTGTCATAGGAACGTAAAAATAATTAATGTACAGCTGTTAAAAAATTGGCAGACGCATTTTATTTTATACCTACCATTAAAAATGAGACGAATAACGTACACGGCTATTATATTAACAATTCATAGAAGCCAGAAAAAATATCAATTCAAGATATTATGTTTTTGTTTGCAGTAAAAGCGCTGACTTGTCACTTGCACTTTTCATTGTAGAATAATTTTTAGCTGTATCAGAAGCTCATTTTGATATTAAGTCAGTTAGATATTGGGTCGCAGTAAAATCAACTTTCTAGTAAGTTGTCGTAGGCAGATTAAGCCAAACATATAAGTGAAGCCCATGGACTGGAACGACGCAGTATATGACGTATGGTCTGTGGGAGATAGATGGATCATGGATGGTAGTTAATTAAGACGTTTACTGATGATGATGCATCTTTACCAATATTTATTATGCCGTCGAATACCTTCTCTTATAATACGAAACTACTGGTTTTGGCGCATTATTCGTAGCGTTACTTTAGCTTAAAGTTAATTTTCCTAATAAGAAGCGGATTTAAAAACTAGAAATTGACTAAATATTTATGAGGCATTTAATTAATTCCTTTTAAAAGAAAAAAAAGTTATGTATGGATGTGTAATTTGTTAAAAGAACTTGAATTTAGAAAGTAAATTGTACATAGGTAAAAAAAAAGTAAATGGATATAAAAGTATACATCTTAACTTTTAATTTAAAAATAGGGTTAATAACATTGAATTTTTAAGTCAATGTTCTGTATGATAAAAAATCTATGATTGCCGAAAAAAATAATTCATTGAATAAATCCTACTGATAGCGATATCGCTAATCCAACGTACCTTTGTGTAAGGGCTTTATTTCATATCACTTTTAATAAAAAACAAAGAAATGAGTAAGGCCAAGATGGTCACAAAATTAAATTTGTTAGAGGGAACCAAAGTGTTTTAATACATATTAATACACAGATATTTTGAGAGTGAGAGATGCGTTAATTTTTTATTCTTACTAATACAAACAATTCTTAATACACTGTGTATTGTTACAATTACAACAAAGAAATTTAATCATGATTGTTTGTCAGTGGAAAAATTCAGCGGCGAATTCCAGATCTTCCGGATAGCCTTGAGTGTGAAAGTGCTCTCGGAAGTCCATAGACTGTAATTAGATTTGTTTTTTTATTTTTTTCACATTGTCTGTGTCATTTCTTTCAAAGCCAGCATCAAAGCGTGTTATGTATAATAAAAGTTTCGGTGACCAACGCTATTTACAAGGAAACGTAGGAAGAATAAGAAATGCAATATTTTCAAAGTGCACACGTAGAACTGTTCCGTACCGGTTTTTAGTCTTTTTTATACCGCACAGTTCGACGTATGTTATTGCACAAACAGCAAACTAAAATTATTGACTAGATATTATAGAAGTAAAACACAGGCTCGGTGCTACGTGCGGTGGTGCGACCACGGCGGCTTGGCGGCGTGGCGGCGCGGCCGTGCATACCGAATCGTAAGATCAAAGCACGCATAGGTACTTTACCAAGTCGAACACCCACACGTATCCGCCACGTCGCGCGCGCCCGTGTGTTGGTGGAATAGAACACACAGACGCGGGCCCGAGGCAACACTAATAAAAGTATAATAAAAGTTACCGAGACAGAAGTGCGGCGTACGGTACTATTTGTTTGGAGGGAGGTTGGAGGCACTCATACGAGCGAGGGAGAGGCTGCGTCGGCGCGGGCGGCGGGCGGAGGGCTGCGGGCGGCGGGCGGCCAGTTTACCGTTGCGAGGCGCGTTGTGCGGCCGGACGCTGGACCGTCACCCGCGCGCCGCCGGCACCCGACACCGATCTGAGCAGCCTCGGCTTGCGCCCCGGAGCCTCCCTGACTTCGTCGCACCCCCTGCCCTACATCTACACACCGGGGTTCGATAGTTCCAACGCTGTGCACACAACGGGCTGTTTATAAACTTTATATTCAAGTCTTGTTCTCTAACGTAGACGCAAAGTGCTACAACTCGTGCTTATTTCACTGAAGTGCTAATCCGATTTCTCATACTTTTTGGATCGCATCTCCATTGGCTAAGGTAAGTTTTTCTAATTTAAAAATTGCACTGTAATGTTTTTGATAAATAACAAGATTCGCTTCGAACGTGAGGTTGTCGGTACGCAAACCCACACATACATGCAGTGTTGGTAAATGACTAATACAAGTAGACAAATTCCAATTTGATTTTATATACAGCACGTATAAACTGTGGTCTTAAGTAAATAATCTTTGTTCCTGAATCGTCTGTGCTTTTCATTTTTTATAATAATTAGTTATGTATACTATTAGTAATAATTAAAGTTTTATTTTTACTGTGATTTTAGTTTTTGAAATAACGTAAATCGTTCTAAAAATACTATTATTGATAAATATTTGAAATAAGATTTACAATAAGTGTGCTGCAATCTTTGTTAGAAAAGTTATAAAGTAGCTGCCACATGTACACGAAATTCTTAGAAGCGTACAATAGCTAAGCATTGCCGTCTAGCAATACACTTAACTTCTGCTTTATTAATAAGACAAAAGTAATCGATGCTTTCTAGAAGAAATTAACAATATTATTTATTTATGTAAATTTAACACGTAACATAACTAACTACTGAAACACAAAGCCACGTGTTAATCGATTTGGAAACATAGTTATGAACCCAAATATTTTTAAAAATATGCTTCTTTTGGATGACTAACTTTAATTGATTCTTGTCAATGATAGTATTTTGGCTATATAAAATATACATATCTTGTATTTAAGCGAACTAAAACGCATGCAAATTTAGTTACAGAGTTATTGATGTTTAATAACATTTATATACATACATAAGAATGGAATAGTAATATATTCTTCTTATACTCAACCATTACAAGCAGTCATTTCGTTTTCGTATTGGTAGGCAATTGCTTGCTTATTAAATGATTATATACCTGATTGCTTTGGTATTTCGTAGTATCCTATATCCTATAATGTTTTTTCTAATAAAACACTTAGAACATAAGGATATTCTAAGTGTTTTTTCCTGCAGTTTTCCAACCAAAATGTTTTTTTTATGTTGTAAAACCTAGTTGTTCGTCAACGTCAACGTTCATCATTATTTAAAAAAAAGACATGCACAGTATATAGCAATTGAAATAATTACTGGATTGCCAATCAATACAATAGTGTTGATATTGTACCTAATGTTAAAGTTCCAAAAAATAAATGAGTTAATATCGTAAGTAGTATAATAAAAAGGCTTATGTATTCCTGATGTACGGTTATATATATGTTACATACTGATATTAATGATAACTGTGTTTCAATGTTCAATCATTCTTAATCAAAATGTATCTTTTTTTCTTGATATAAATCATTACAAATTTTTTCAAACAAACAACTATGGACATTATTGTTTTTCATATAAGACCGTGTACTTAAAGACAAAACAGAGAGAAATTTGGTGTTAAGTAACCATATTCACACCATCTATTTTTATCTCTAGTACATGAAGATGGTAACGTAATAATGTCTTATTCGATGTCCAATTATTGTGTTTGTCTTTTGTTGACAAAATATGAACAAATAGTGTGCTAACCGCGAAGACTATAAAATTATTTATAGGTATGTACGGGAGTGCAAAAACTTATTGACGCGATCCTTAGATAAATTAAATTTGTAAAAAGATGAATAAAATTGCTTAGACAAGTAAAATTAGTAAAGAATATCATTATCAGCCGTGCGTATTCATAACGGCCTTATTATATGAGTATAACTTACCGTAAATGAGTTTTTTTAGGGGAGATTCATCTTGTAACACGATGAAAAGAAGGATGTTACACAGGGTCACTGATAACAATGGCAAGATGCTTGTTAACTCGAAGGTTGCACACAATATTGATGCAACTGATTAGCTTTTGGCAGTTTAACAAATTATCTTATCACTTTTTATTGCAGTATAAAAACGGTTCTAGTTGAATGCTTTGTTTGTCAATTCTTTTTACGGTTCGTTTTGTTTTTGAAATGTGACGTGCGCGTTGATGTCTTTTCTTCTAACAATAAAGTTGTTCATACTTGGCACTAAATTATATCGTAATTTAAATACCTTTTTTCAATTGATTGACTTTTTTATATGACTTCTCATGGATATTGATATTTAAATGTAACAAGTTATTTTAAAAATAAAAGCAAGAAAAGTTATAAAGCGCGATAAAATGTTAACTGTACTTAGATATTTTTGTAAATATTATTTTTTTACAATTTAATCGATAAATTATACAGAAGAGAAATACATTTTGTATTGTAATATAACTATGTATTTGTTTAACTTGTTGCCATTTTAGTACCCAAAAACTGAATGGAAAGCTACACAAATTTGATTCGTGCAAATACAACTAATGAATAATTAATAAATGAGTACATAATATGTAATATGAGATAGTTGTATTATACATGTGTTTAAATACCAAATATAACCAGGTATTTACATTTTTATCTAATAAGGATTTAAAATAACTTTTGCCTGTTTTTAATACTTTATACCATGATGATGCCGCAATGAAAAATGTGCAGTTATTCTAAAACATATAAATGACTCCGTGTTATAAATATTAAAGCATAAACGGTCGTCAATTTATGCGATAAGCAAATGGATCGTTTGCAAATGCCCGTAAAGAGTTTACCTACATGATTTAATAGCCTACAAATTTAAGCCATATTCAGACACGAGTTACCAAAACCGCTTATTTCGAAACTTATTACGATAATATCAACAGTGCCGTGTCTGGCACGCATCACAAACATAACTCTACTACTAACTCGATTATATCTTATTGTTTATCATATTAACATGTATTAATGATATTTAATAGTACATATTATTGCTATTTAAATAAAAAATATATAATTAACTTTTGCTAAAGTGACGTGATTACTTTTGTATAAACAGAGCCAATCGTGAATATAAAAAGTAATGTCAAATTCACCTTGACGTTTTTATCTTATACGTCGAATCGATATAGACCAGAAGTGCTTTAATTTAATTATTTTTATTTAATGCTTACGCTAAAAACTGTACTACACAAGCTAATTATTATATATTGTGTTTTAATTTATATATTAAATGTTTAATTTTCGTTTCATAGCTGCAAAAGTGGACTAAAGTTTTCAGGGACATGTTATTACGTTTTATATTTTATGCGTATTATTTCTTAACATAGAACTTGTAAACAAAAATTAAGTCGCTTTAGCAGTCCATGTATGCTATATTTCGTAGAATCGCTGTGCCTAGTACGCAGTTTGCAGTCGCTGCTATAAGCACTGCGGACTGTACGCCAACCGAAGCAGTTCGTGTATGTTGGCCTTTAGCGTTATCGATATAGAAGTTTAATTAAAGCAGTAGTGGATTTGCATTCCCTGTATTCTCGTTATATTTAATCGACCTAGAATAGGGAGTTATGTGTGAACTGAACGTCCTAAAATAATACAATCCAATAGTTTTACAATGAAGTAAAATTATAATTTGTTAACATGTATCTTATATTCGCAATTAAATAATTATTTAAGGTTTGGCTGGTTGGTAGTAAAGTATGTTTAATAGCCTTTAATTATATTATATCGTTCGGTTGTACTAAAACATTTTATAGCTCGCTAATATATTGAGGTCATATCTTAATTAAAATAAAATTACTACGTAGATTGCAGAATTGCTACTCTGTTTTCGTGCTTAGTTCACCAGAAGGATGTAGTTTTCTTAATCTGCTTCCAGATTAAAGATGGAACTTATTAATAAATATTATATAAATATACCTAATGTACAGTCATTTATATAAATTTTATTTTCGAAAAATAGGTATATGTGACAATATATTTGAATCAGTAAAACTATTAAAATATACAAGCGATAATGTCATGTAACAGAATATATTAATTATTAAAATATGTTAATATCTTTTGTTGCTATCTAGGATCATTACATACAGATTATTTCCCACATATAGTCGGTGTGTAAATTGATAACATCAGCACGGCAGTAAAAATGCATTTTATTCGTTGTTAAAATTCTTCTTCTTCTTTGTCGTTGCAGTCTTATCAGACTGGTCGTGGTCATCACGTATCAGTGACCCGCTTTACCAGGCGCCGCCACTCCTCCCTAGTCGCTGCTTTTTTTGTACATTGGTGCAGGGGGACATCCACAGCCGCTCTGATTTGGTCGGTCCACCTCATAGGCGATCTTCCTCGTGGTCTATTGCCCTCAACTTTCCCCTGCACCACCAAGCGCTCGATGGATTCGTCATCACGTCTACAGACGTGACCAAAAAAAGTGAGTATGCGAACCCGAACAATGCATGACAGACGCTGCTTGATGCCGAGTTCTTCGAGGATTGACTTGTTTGTCCGGAATGCGGTCCAAGGTATTTTCAGCATTCTTCTCCAGCACCACATCTCGTGCGCGTCTATCTTCTTTTTCTCACTCTCTCGTAGGGTCCACGTTTCGGACGCATAAAGGAATATGGAGAATACAAGCGATCGTACAAGCCGAGTTTTAATCGCTTTTGTAATGTCGCGGTTTCTCCATATTCTTTGCAATTTCTCAACTTTCGTTGTTAAAATACTTTTGTCAAAACTATATGAGTATTTTCAACAATATTTACTATTATATTTCGTTGTTAACTTGTAAACTTTCCGCGCTATTTTCCACTATTTTTGCATCTATAATTTTCATAATTAAAAAGATAAAGTTGCTCAGTGGCCAGTATGACACCTCTTTAGCAGAATGATTAATATATGGCCAATAAGGAGTTTGAATACGTAATTCAACATACGGTTCGGCGGCATATTATTTTAACTTTACTAATACGTCTTGTAACAAAAATCTCTTGAAAACATTAACAGGTCACAGGTTGAAAAGGAAGATTTTGAATTGACAACCCCAAAGTCGGTAACCTTCGTAAACATTATGTAAGGTCGTACAAGACGCTATTATGTGTAATAAACGGTATTAATTGAGAATCAATCACAAAATTGAAAATTGATATTAAAAGTATAGATTTATTCATATTTTTTTG